CGTGGCCAGGTCGCTTCTGAAAAAAAGATAACAGCTATTTATCTGGTAAAATGAAAAGATGAATAGTTTATCATTCTTTGGTCTTTTGTTATTTTCTTTGAACTTATCTACGTGACTTTACCGAAAGACCCAAGAATATTAATTTCTGCAGTCACGAAAGCTTTTAAGTCCAGATGGATAGTTTCGTTTAAAAGAGGGGGCGCTCAGGATCGGTTCAAATATCACTCCGTCGCTGATGTTAGTGGACCTTACCTGCTAAAAAAAAATAGTTTCGTAATAGTAAAAAAGAACCTCGCAGCGTCGTTTCAACTGCCGCGCCTGGAGATCGAATCGAATCGAGCAGCGTGATGAACATTGCATCGCTCCCGTGATAGGAGAATCCACGGCGGGAGTTCGGCGTGGATAACAATTACAATCATCCCGGCGCCTGTCACGGAATCCCATGACGGGCTTAAATTGGATTCTCTCCCTATATCGCGGTATTAAAGGGAAATGGTTGGTAATCTTTCCAACCACGGATTTGTTTGAATGTGTGTACGTGTGTATGGACGTGCAGTCGGGAGATGAATCGTTGTGGTTCGAGCGCTGCGCTACAAACTCTGAGACCCGAAATCAAACTCGGAGACCCGAGTTCGATTTCCGCTCACGACCACCAACACCGGTGACGATTATCTGAACCGGTCCTGGGCCTCTCCTAGGTCAACTCAGCCTTCAATGAGTAACCACTGGAAAGACAAAGGTGGTCGGGCATGGTGTTGGGCACACCATCCACTCGTGTTCCTTGCCGGCCTTCATAGCTGCTTGCTAACAGCACTTGCCCCAACAGTCTGTTAAAGGCTACACAGGGGTTCTGTGTCTGTGTACTCGTGTGACTCAGTCTAAAGTATGTGTGTAAACATGTGTGTACATGTGTACACATGCGTGTGTGTATGTTGTGTATGACTGCACCGCCAGTGGCTATTGTCGCATGGTACCTTAATGTCTCTAGATTTACTCATTAGGTTGACCATCAGGTTGACTCGGCCTAAAATCAGGATACGCGTGTGTGATCAGTGACACTTTCAATCTGATGCTTGTCTGGAATTCTTCTACGTCGACTAAGCCCAAAAGGAAGTAATGCGTTTGTATCGTCAGGATTCAGAATCTATATCAATACAGTACAACCTGTCAATCGCCGGGGGGAAATGAGGGAGCGGAGGACGGGGATTGGCTGGGATTTGCATGCAAATCACATGCAAATGAGGCTTTACATCATTATTGTTTACACCCGTGTCGAATGCAGGTGAAGACGACGCCTTCTCTAACACAGGTTTTTTTTTGGGTGGTTAAACCGCGTAAATATATAAATGTGTCGTTAAACCCGCCACCACCCGGCACAGCCAATTAGTAAGGTTTGTCACGTTAACAGAACATTCGTTACTAGTACAACAGTTACTCATGCTAGTACAACAGTAACTAATTGCCATGTTCTGTCGACGTAACAAACCTTACTAATTGGCTGTGCCGGGTGGTGGCGGGTTTGACACATTTATATATTTACGCGATCTAACCCCCCCCCCCCCAAAAAAACCTGCATTATGGATGATATTGGTCGCGAAAGCCGCCTCCGTGTTAAACTGACGCCTCCTCTGTCTGTATTCCGCCTTGCCTTCATCGGCTCGCCTGCCAACGTGTTTACGGTCTCGTGAACGGCGCGTCAACGACCCTGGACGAGCGGGGAGCTGTCTTTAACGATTTAGCTGCTACTCACTCGTGGAGGAATCGCAGAAGAACCGTAAAATAAGTAAAGGAGCGCACGCATTAAAACTTTAACACAAATATTCCATCTCTCTCACTCGCAAACGTCACGCACCTAGGGGGGGGGGGGGGGGGGGGTCAGACATTTGTGACGATGTGTGACGAGGGGGGGGGGGGGGTGAGAAATGTGACGTCACATCAAAATGCGCAACTTTAAATAAATATAGACAACATTAAATAGACGTTTTAATACATGTTTTCTCCTACAACATCAGAGTGCAGCGCCACATTAAATACGCACTACAATGACAATAGTTTAAAGCGATTTGAAGCATTTTTTTTGGGGGGGGGGGGCAGAGCTTTGTGACGTCATATTTGAGGGGGGGTCTGACTTTTTGTGACGCCGTGTGACGAGGGGGGGGGTCAAAAATCGTTCAAAATCGCGTGACGTCATTTATGGACGGCCCTATAGTTTATCTGCCACCCGGGATAATCTCACACGTGGATTAAAGCCCTGCAGAGTTCGCGAACTGTGGTTTAAATAAAACTAATCAATGCATCGGTCCGGTTCTAAATTCACAGGGCGCAAGTGTGTAAATTGAGACAAAGTGGACTGCCCGTTCCACTTAAAGGTCTCGCCAAGGTTTTTGTTTTAGGTGGAGATGAGGGATGGGAATTTAAATGCAGCCCTGCGTCTCGGGCTTTTGGCAACAATCAAAGGTGATTTCATGAGCCTAAGACTGCAGCTGTTTTTGAGATGGGGTGCTAAGGCTTCGCACACTCTTAGCGTTGAAATTTACAGCTGTGCTGATGAGTGATATTAAGGGGAAAAACTACTCGCCACGTGCATTGCCTTGATGTTTTGTTCGATGACACTTTGGCGAATAAGGAGCCATTGTAATCCCCATCACCATTGTAATCTCCATCACCATTGTAATTTCCACCACCATTGTCATAATCTCCATCACCATTGTAATCCCCATCACCATTGTAATCCACATTACCATTGTAATCTCCATTATAATTGTAATCCCCTTCACCATTGTAATCCCCTTCACCATTGTAATCAGATCTAGATTGCCATTATATTATCATCGTATTCCTTGTAAATTAAAAACAATTCACCACCATCATTCATCATCATCGATTCCATATCTTAATCATCATGAATGTGTTACAAATAGTGCACCCGATCTTATACCAATCTCAAAAGCTAAGCAGCTGTTGTCGTTTATTGGCGACAAGGTCACCAGGCGAAGGGACTACACCAAGGGGTCATTTAATCTCCCTGCGTAGGGTACCAGACAAATCTACGTAGCCTCCCACGTGAAGCCAAACTCTCATTAATGGCTTTGGCGAAACATCCAAATCCAGGACCCACATGAATGGGAGGATTGAGATGCAGTGATATTTTCCTGGATAAATAATGGCCACTGTTATTTTCACCATAGCACCATCATCATTGTCACTGCATTCATCTTTTTTTTACGTCATCATTTCGACAACGTGACGTTCAGTTCGGTTTGTAAAAGAAAACCAGGAATACCGTATTCACTGGATTCTAAGATGCTCCGGAAAGTAAAACGCACCAGAAACTGGTGTCCTTTGTCAATACCAAAAAAAAATCTACAAATCCGGTCACGCACACACACATGCAGCCACAAGATTATGCGACGCATCCCCAAATGTATGCCTTCAAATGCTACACAGTCTAGGTAACGAGTGCATCTTATAATCCGGATCATACGGTAAAACCTGTGAAGCTGCTGTTATCCATACAATGGCAGTGAAGATTGCATTTGATTCCAGGCCGTGAGAAACGTGTTATCATATTTTTGCTCAGCTATAAACATGTTTGTTTTGTTGTTACGGGCGAGAGCCAGATCGATGAGAGGTTACTTTCATCGATGTCCGCTACCGACCGTTCTCATCGACTTTGAGCCCGAAGTGTATTCACGGAGACAGCGACCCCGGCTGTAGAGGCCACATGCTGTCGATCACAGAAGTCACCTTCAATGAGCTGCACTCGCCCTGCTCGAGTTCCACATCCACAGAGGGGCGATGTAGAAGAGGGCTCAGGAATACACGTGTGTGTGTGTGCGTGTGTGTGCGTGTGTCTGTGTGTGCGTGTGTTCCACACACACGTGTAGTGGTTAGCGGTTAGCGCGCTGCGCTATGAACCTGGCGACCCGGGTCCGATTCCCGCTCATGGCAAACACCAGTGACGATTAACTAAACCGGTACCGGGCCTCTCCTAGGTTGACTCAGGCCTCAAAAGAGTACCTGGTGCGATGTGTAAACATCGTCCCTAGGGAGACAAAGGCGGCCGGGCGTGGTGCTGGCCACCCACCCCATCGTGTGCCGTGCCGGCCTTCATAGGTGCTCGCTAACAGGACTTGCCCCTACAGTCTGTTAAGGCTACACGGGGGATCTTTGTCTTTGTTTTGTTCCACACTGCAGCCTCCCAGCTGTGGCCTACATTCACAGAAAACACCGTGCTTGCCTCCCAGAGTCCACAATCATAGAGACCCTCTCACTCTACGACAGTCCACAATCATAGAGACCCTGCGTCTGTACGCTACACTCGCAGAGACCCCATCATCCCATGGGAGTCTTAAGAGGCCGTCTCACTCCACTGGAGTTCACAGTCGTAGAGACCGTCACTCGAATTTCTGCTCGAGTTCACAATCAGAGCGACGGCCGTCCTCTGGTTGTACTCACTCGAGTCCGGGCCCACGGAGACACTACACGCCAGGCGGAGATGGTCGTTGTTTGTGTGGCCGTGGGTTCAATGCTCTGGGCTCACGGGTTAGGCGTTGGCCATGATGAATGAGCCTGCGAGTAAGCGCGCGCGCGTGCGCGTGCATGCGCGTGCGTGCATGCGCGTGCGTGCGTCCGTGCTGGAGCGCGCGCGTGCGCGTGCGTGCATGCGCGCGCGTGCGTGCGTCCGTGCTGGAGCGCGCGCGTGCGTCCGTGCTGGAGCGCGCGCGTGCGCGTGCGTGCATGCGCGTGCGTGCATGCGCGTGCGTCCGTGCTGGAGCGCGTGCGTCCGTGCTGGAGCGCGCGCGTGCGCGTCCGTGCTGGAGCGCGTGCGCGTGCGTGCGAGCGCGCGCGTGCGTCCGTGCTGGAGCGCGCGCGTGCATCCGTGCTGGAGCGCGTGCGCGCGCGTGCGTTCTGGAGCGCGCGCGGCGACTCCCCGGCCACGGGACGATGACAACAGCGGTGTCGCCATGGTAACGGGGGAGAGAGGAGCGGAGGGGAGAGCCGAGATGAGAGATGCAAAAAATAATGGGATAGGAGAGAGAGAGAGAGAAGGAAGAGGAGAGAGGGGTTTACAGAAGGAGGTAGAATTAGAGAGAAGAGAGAACGCGTGGAGAGACAACGGAGAGACAAAGCGGAGGATGAGACAGAGAGCGAGAGAGATGAACAGAGACGGTGAGATGTGGACGAGAGACAATGTCGATTGGAGACAGGGGAGGAGAGACGTCTGTGACATAGCTACTGAACGGGTCCGTGCGCCGATCCACAGAGGAAAGAGAGAGGCCCGTCTCGTTCCGTGGACACAGAAGGTTGAGTTCTAACCACGCTCCACCCGCCGAGAGAGTGGAGGCGGGAGGAGAGAAATAGATGAGGGAGAAGAGAGGAGATTATGAGGCCGAACGGGGGATAGGCAAGAGATGAGAGAGGCAGAAAGACCAGGTGGAGAGGCACAACAAAAGTAGAACAAAGATCCCCCGCTGTAGCCTCGAACAGACTGTTGGGGCAAGTGCTGTTAGCGAGTAGCACCTATGAAGGCCGGAACAGCACACGAGGATGTAGACGGCCCAGCACCACGGCCGGGCCGCCTTTGTCTCCCCGGTGCTGATGTTTACACATCGCACCAGGTAATCTTGTCGGGCTGAGTCGACCTAGGGGAGGGCTCAGGACTGGTTCAAATATTCGTTACCGGTGTTGGCCGCGAGCGGGAATCGAACCCGGATTGCCGGGTTCGTAGACGCAAGCGCGCTAACCACAGCACCACCGCTCCCCATTCAAATGCACAGCGACACACCGCTTAGCTTCCGCCGGTCACGGAAGCTAAGCAGGCGTTGAGCCTGGATAGTTGTTGTTTGATTACGTGCGATGACCATGCACAGCGGGTTGGTATCGGCTTATGGGGTTACATGGCGGGCCAGTAAATATTTGTGGATATGTTTCGGTATTCGTCGGTTCGATTCCTGACCACGGCTAACATCAGTGACGGGGTGATGTTTGAACCGATCCTGAGCTGTCCTGTTAGAAACTAAACGATTCAAAACGTGTTTTACCAGCTCTTTTTAAGAAGCGACCTGGCCACAAATGATAGCTCAACGAAGTGGCTTATTGCCACGTGGAAATGTACAGCAGCCAGAATACTCTAAACCAGGGGTCGGCAACCTACGGCTCCGGAGCCGCATGCGGCTCTTTACGGGCTGCTTCTTGACGATATGTACGTATGTACAGTATGTACTCAGATGCATTGCGGCTCTTGAAATATTGAATTTTGTACCGAATCGGAAAGAATATGGCTCTTCTTGTTATTTTGGTTGCCGATCCCTGCCCTAAACGCTTGAAGTTCATTCTAAATGTGGAGGGAAAAACCGGAGGACCCGAAGAAAAATCCATGCGACCACGGAGAGAGAGAGCGAGAGAGACACGCAAACTCCAAATATACAGCAGCAGACGTCAGGATCGGGATCGAACCCACGACCTCCCTTGTAAACCAGGCGAGGTTGTTGTGAAGTTTCGACAAGCAACCTCCTTAAAAGACCCGCGCAGCCGGTAGGGGAGGCTGTCACCCAGCCGTGGTTTCACAAAGGGCCCCTGGCACACGATGATGATCGCTTGAACACTGCGGGCGCGTTAGATGATTGCAACGTAACGTGTACATTACGGACACGCGCGTGGGAGCGATCGCGAGGGCGATTGCTGATTGCGCCGTTGATTTTCGTGGCTCCTGGGAATCCCGTGGGTTTCATCGCCTGCCCGGCGAATCGATGGACTCTTTAGCAATTACCTCTGCGGGTGTCTGGAGCACCACACACCGAGCGGCGTAGCATTTAAGGGGCCCACACTCTGCCACCGTCCCGTCGAGTGACCACACCATGCTGTAGAGCGGCAGCCGTGCAATGCTGGTGGTGGCCCCCGCGCGCGTCAAGCTCTTCTGCATGTGAGCCCTTGTCCCCTCGGAGTGATCTTCGCAATGTCGTGGTGCAGCAGCAGCAGTAGCAGTCCGTTTGAGTTTTTTGTTGTTGTAATTTGCACCCACAAATCCTCACCCCACCTTCCCCTCCCCCCCCCATTGCGGGTCGTTTGGCCATACTTTACCATCGCCGGTCACTGCGGCTTGGTGAAGCGGATGCGTTCGTGTGGGTGAATAGATGCGTCACGACGGCGAGATGTTAATTACCTCGCCCGGTCTACAGGAGGTTTGTGGCTTTTATCCCGACCCTGACGCCCGCTAGGGATATTCGACGCCTGCATGTACAGACGGACACGCACGCACGCACGCCCTCCGTGTGTAAACGAGACGCTCCGTTCTTAATGTCCACACTGATGATGAACACCTCCACCAAGAAGAATGAAGACCGCCACTTGAGTGCGTGCCACCATCAAGGGCCGTTCAAGAGCCATTAGCCGAGACCGCTCCGTCTCTGGCCGTGCAGATGAGGAACCTCGCGCCAAGTCTTTACGACTGAGCTTTGATCAAATTAGGCGCAAAAGCAACCACAAAGACAAAGATCCCCCGTATAGCCTGAACAGACTGTTGGGGCAAGTGCTGTTAGCGAGCACCTATGAAGGCCGGAACGGTACACGAAGGGATGGGTGGCCGCCTTTGTCTCCCCAGTGGTGATAATTACTGTACACCGCACCAGGTACTCATTTGAGGCTGAGTCGACTTAGGGGAGGCCCAGGACCGGTTCAGATAATCGTCACCGGTGTTGGTGGCCGTGAGCGGGAATCGAACTCGGGTTCCCCGGGGATCGTAGTGCAGCGTAGCGCTAACCGCTACACTACCGCCACCCGCATACCCCCACCCCCCACACGTGTTACACACACACACACGTGTATGTGTGTGTTACACACACACATACACGTGCGTGTGTGCGCGCATATAAATGTCTGCTCGCGCCGTGAGCCGCCGGCAGTCAACAGTTTGCGATGTTCCTCCACTGAGCAGCAGCTGCAGCAGGAGCAGCTGCAGCAGCTGCAGCAGCAGCAGCAGTCCCCTACGCTCATGCCGGATCCCCGCCTATCCCTGCCGACAGGGGTCCGGGTGATGGAGAGGGGACGAGTGTTGGAGGGGGTGGAGTGGAGGCGGCGGGGGGTGTGAATCCAGCAGCATAGGCGGAGGAGAGCGGGGCGCGTGTGCATCTCGGGGACTTGTTTGAGCGGAGATTTTGGGGGGAGATTTCATCATGATGATGATGGGCGGCTCGGATTTGCTGCGGGTGATGGTGATGACGACGATGGTGGTGGTGGCGCTGATGGTGGTGATGGTGCCGGAGACACGCGGTAAGGCGATGTGCGCGTGGACATGTACATACGTGCGCATCAATATACAGACACCAACATTTGCAGACACTTTTAATACAAACGACGAACGATCCACCGGTTATAGCCTTTGTAGGCTGATTAGGACGAGTACCGTTAGCGAGCACCTATGAAGGCGACTTCTAATGCAAAGACAACGGATCTCCCCCCACCCCCCGTGTAGCCTCTAAAAGGGCTGCAGGGGCAAGTGCCGTTAGCGAGCACATCTGAATGCCGGCACGGTACACGAGGGGGTGGGGTGGCCAGCACCACGCCCGACCGCCTTTGTCTCCCTTAAGGTCACACACGCGGTGTTTATTGGCGAACGTGCTCGAGTTTGTTGTTAATTGTGCTCGCGCGCCAATGCAGCAGCAGCAGCAGCGGCAGTAGCAGCAGCGTCGCTGGTTGAACGCTGACGGCCGTGGCTTAAGAATGCGCAACAGATCGGAGAATCCTGTCCGGGGATCTTTGAACATTGCGGTAAATGTTGTACCGTAATAGGAGACACACGCAATACACACGTGTCATGGGCACATGAACACACAGCTCTGTTCACGTGCATGTGTGCGATTACATTGAAGTGTGTGCGTGTGTGAAAACAGGTGTGTATGGGGAACAGTATATAATAGACGACGTTTCGGGTAATGGCCCCTCTTCATGGCACACACAGAGAGGCCACAGAGATTTAAGTTTATTGTCTGAAGACCCCAATGGGAGACCGAGTTCTGTCTTATTATTATTATTATCTTTATCTTAAGACGCCATCGGAGACCTGCGCTGCAGTGGATGTTTCCCTAATGTCCGATCAGAAATACTTGCTCGGGTATTTAATTTGCCGAAACAAAAAACTCCGATCAGAGACCGATTTTGGTGAAGTCTATTGTGAACACGGTAATACAATTATAATGCTAAATACCAAACGTAAAGACACCGCTGCGGGATATGTAGACGAACAGGACAGGTGGATTTGACGTTCCATCCATGCCCCCCCCCACCCCCCACACACATGAATGGCAATTACATTAAATTTCGATTTAAAGCTTTCGTGACTGCAGGGATTCATCTTCTTGGTTCTTTCGGTAAAGTCACGTAGAAGGGAAATAATAATATTATGTTTAATTTTTATTATTTTATTATTTCCCTTCTACATGACTTTACCGAAATAACCAAGAAGAAGGGCAATTACATTCATGAAGGGAGCGTGCGTCTCCCGATGTAAAGTGTGGCGTTAAACACTCATCGTCATTTTCGTTGTCATTCACGTGGACACGAAGCCATTGTGTGCCAATGCCATAAATATAAATATTTGTTTTAAAACAACTCCCACCGGTACCTACACTGTAAGTGTAATCATCGTTAATCTCCCAGTGCATTTAACCTTGAGAATCAACAACAAAAGGAACAATGAACCTCCTCCATGGGCTCTCACTGGGTTAAATATAGGACGTGGTATTTTGGCAGTGTTACTCGTCTAGAATACAGACCAAACCTACAACAAGGGGTGGCCGGGAGGTTCAGAGGTCAGAGCGCTGAGCTGGACGCCACTGAGATCATGGGTTTGAATCCAGGTTTCAGCTGTAATTATGTATGTGTGTTGAGATTCTTTCGCACCGTACGTAGCCAACCGTGCTAATCGGAGATGATTATCTCAGGCCAGTTTCCAATGGCTGCACCCACACACACACACAAAAACCACCCCACTACGTTAATCTTGGTTCTGTACTCAGCGTTTGCTAAATTCCAGCTTTGGGAATAAAAAATATGAGATTGACTGATAAGCGACAGATGTCACGTGCTCAGGTGGCAGGGCGAATTGGAAGGCGGCTGCTCAGCACTGCCTCTGCGTGGACCAGAGGTTCCCTTGAAATTCTAGATTTGAAGCTTAATTCTAGATTTGAAGCTTTCGTGACTGCAAGGATTCATACTCTTAGGTTTTTTCGGTAAAGTCACGTAGGTAAAACAATTTAAATTAATAAAAGTAAAATAAAACAAATAGAAAAATTCACGACGTTTCGGAAGACAGAGGCTTGTGTTGTTTTCGAAACGTCGTGAATTTTTTTATTAGTTTTATTTTACTTTTATTAATTACATTTTTTTACCCACGTGACTTTACCGAAAAAACCTAAGAGAATGAATCCTTTGAAATTGTCTGAGATGTAGCTCTGTGATGTCCGCTTCCGCGGGCCGCTCTCGAAACAAGCAGGGTTGAAATGCTTTGCGCGAAAAAAATATGAATACATTATTCGCCTCTTGACACGAAGCCGATAGTGCAATCAGACTACCAGGGGAAGATGGGGGGAGGGGGCGGGGGAGGACCCAAAGTGACAACACAGAGACAGGTCTGAGGCTGACTGAGAGACAATATTGGACACTGGCCATTAAGTGCCTCCTAGCTCTTAGCTAACGGAGACCTTTTTTGACCTGAGCACGGCCGTCACATTCACCCGGACTTGGCTCGGACAGTCCGGCCCACCGCCAGCATGGGCCAATCAAATTGCTCACTGGCAGTGCCTGTGGGGAGAGGTTATGTCAGGTTAATAGGTTAATCATAAGTTGAGCGGTGGCGCAGTGGTAAGCGCGTGGTGCTGCGAACTCAGTCACCTGAGTTAGATTACCGTGCTCACGGCGAGTGCGACATCAAAAGCCGTCCAGAGCTACCCCCTTCAACCAGCGTGGCGAAGTATGGTCAAACACCTCCGATTAGCATGGTTGGCTACGTACGGTGCGAAAGAAATTCCACATACATCAACATACAACTGACTCGCCCATGTCTGATACGGTGTAAGAAAGCCTTCATCCAGCAGTGAATTAACAACGTGCAGTGATAAATACCGAAAAGGGTAACCCCGTCCCACCCTATCTTCACTAGGTGAAGGTGAAGATGGGGGGGGGGGGGGTTCAGAATAAAAACATTATCTCCATACTCACCTCTGTCGCTATTTTGTAATTCCAGCGATGCACATTCTACATCCCTCTACGGTTCGTAAGCGGCGAGTTACAAAACCACCATTGATTTATCTGCACCGGTTGTGTTGCGGTTGAAATTGGGGTTACAGTTTCTGGGTTAATGTTGAGTACAGTTGTGATGAGACTCCAATTCCCCTGGGCTTATTGTACAGATCTGGGCTAGGTCTCTCGTGGGTGTATAATTAATTGAGATATATTCTTTGGTTATGTCGGTAAAGTCACGTAGATTAAAATATATATTTTTAAGTGAATAAAAATATCACGTTTCGATCGCAACACAAGAGGTCGTCATCAGACTTTACCGAACGAACCACAGAATATGAATTCCTGCAGTCACGAAAGTTTTAAGTCAAAATTTAATTGAGATCTCCCCCCGGTCGCCGTTAGGAGTGTCAGGGTTCACATCTGGCCCACAGGTCTCCCGTGGGTTGGTAATGAATTACTGTATTATATGAATGAGACCTACGAGTCAAGGAATGTATGGGTTCACGCCTGAGTTAGGGTGGGCGCCATGGTGGCGAGATATTAACTACCTCGCCTGGTATGCAGGAAGTCGTGGGTTAAATTCAGACCCTGACGCCTGCTGTATATTTGAAGTCTGCGTATTCTCTCTGCCCGTGGTCGCGTGGATATCTTCCTCTGGCTACTCAGGGTTTTCCCTCCACATTTAAACCATGCGTTTAGGGTATTTGGGTGCAATATATTTCCACACGACGAGCTGCTTCGCCGAGCTATAATTTGTGGCCAAGTCGCTTCTGAAAACAGAGCTATATAGCTCAATGGTCCTTACCTGGCAATATAAACAATTGTTTAGTTTAGGGTGTAGTGTTTAATGCGTTTTATATAGAACATCCCCACGCTCCTTTTGTTAGCATTGGCGTCCACAACATTTTTGCCATAATCATCGCGTGGCGTAGCGTCGTTTAGAATGGGCCCGAGTGCAAGGAATGGAATGGGGCCACCCCCTGTTGGAGTTCCCCTCCCTCTGGGCCCCTCCGGCCAATGGACCCTGGTGCAGTTGCACCGCCTGCGCACTCGATGACAAGATTCGCCACTCTTCGTTCGGGTTCTCAGCTTTCTCAGGGTTAGGAGCTGTCCGTAGGTTTGTATAAAGCGTCCTATAAATGAGGCCCCAAATCTCCTCCGCTAGGCGGTTGCGGGTTAAGTGCTCAATGGGGTTAAATGTGGACCTCTCGCTCTCATTGTACGGGATCGCATCTGGGTCAGGCGCAGGTCTCCTGTGGGGTTGTAACGAGGAATATGAATGAGACTGTGAGTCCCTAAGGACCTCCAAATGAGTCAGAGTGGCCCAGCGACCAGCCCCCACCATCTCCAAATCCATCCCCCACCACCTCGCTCCCTGTGCCGGAGGAGCTCAATCAGCCAAAGCCCCCCCCCCTCACCTCGCTCCCATCCACCAGCCCCCCGCCCCTAAAAGCCAATTAGTGTGCACCCACACGCACTGCCAGCTTTGTGTCCCACATGCGCGTTCTTGTATCTGTGTTGTCCTTGTTGATATGATCGCGTGTGTACGTGTGTACGTGTGTGTGTGTGCGCGTAGCGGTGGCTTAGTGGTTAGCGCGCTACGCTACGAACCCGGCGACCCGAGTTCGATGCCCGCTCACGGGCCACCACACCAGTGGCGAATATCTTAACCGGGTCCTGGTTGTCCCCTAGGTCGACTCGGCCTCAATTGCGTACCTGGTTCAATGTGTAGACTTCGTCACGAGGGAGACAAAGGCGGCCGGGCGTGGTGCTGGCACACCCACTCCCATCGTGTGTTGTGCCGGCCTTCATAGATTCTCGCTAAGGGGCCGTCCATAAATGACGTCACGCGATTTTGGAGGATTTTTGACCCCCCCCCCCCCCTCGTCACAGGGCGTCACAAAAAGTCAGACCCCCCTTCAAATATGACGTCACAAGCTCTGCCCCCCCCCCAAACCATATTTCCATTTTGAAAATAAAACATGCTTAAAATCGCTTTAAACTATTGTCATTGTAGTGCGTATGTAACGTGGCGCTGCACTCTGATTTTGTAGGAGAAAACATTTATTAAAAAGTCTATTTAATTAAGTAGAACTTGTTGTCTATATTTATTTAAAGTTGCGCATTTTTACGTGACGTCACATTTCTCACCCCCCCCCCCCCTCGTCCCACATCGTCACAAATTTCTGACCCCACTCCCTAGGTGCGTGACGTCATTTATGGACGGCCCCTAACAGAACCGGCCCCAATAGTCTGTTGAAAACTCCGCGTGTGATATTTGCATCCGTGCGGCATTCGGAGCGGTGGCGCGAGTGATGAGCGCGCTGCGAAAACGACAGCCAAGTTCGGTGAACGAATATTTGAACCGATCCTGGGGCCCTCCCCTAGGTCGGCTCGGCCTTAAAAGGAGTTGCGCGCTGCGACGGAGCAGAAGTTCATTTCCCGAAGTAAAGCCCATTGAGATGAGAGGGCCACTCGGTTCGCAGACAACATTAAAGGCGGTGCCGCTGTTGTCACCAACATCAGGTGCGGCGGAGGTGATGGCGAGGAGCATCCACGCGGAGGAGCGGCTGCTGCAGGCGCTGCTCACCGGGTACAGCCGCTGGTCTCGGCCCGTGCACAACAGCACCCACGTGGTGTACGTGCGCTTTGGGCTGTCCGTGGCGCAGCTCATAGACGTGGTGCGCAACACAGACACACACAACACACACACACAACACACACGTTCGAGATTTGAAGCTTTCGTGACTGCAAGGATTGATATTCTTAGGTTTTTTCGGTAAAGTCACGTAGGTAAAAAAAAAATTAAAATTGAAATTAATAAAAGTAAAATAAAATAAAAATGTAATTTTATTTTATTTTTATTTTATTTTAAAGTAAAATTAAATACATGTATTTATTTATTTTATTTAACTTTTATTAATTTCAATTAAAAAAAATTTTTTACCTACGTGACTTTACCGAAAAAACCTAAGAATACAACACACACGTGTGTATACAAAGAGAAAGATCCCCCGTGTAGCCTTAACAGACTGTAGGGGCAAGTGCTGTTAGCGAGCACCTATGAAGGCCGGAACGGTACACGAGATGTTTTTTGTTCATGTTTTTGTTTTTTGTTTGTTGCGGTTGCACCTGATTCAAGAGCCGAATGGCTCACAGGGCTATACCTAATACATGAACATGAACATAGGGTGGCCAGCACCACGCCCGACCGCCTTTGTCTCCCCAGTGGCGATGTTTACACGCCGCACCGGGTACTCATTTGAGGCTGAGTCGACCTAGGGGAGGCCCGAGACCGGTTCAGATAATCGTCACTGGTGTTGGCTGTGAGCGGGAATCGAACCCGGGTCGCTAGGTTCATAGCGCAGCGCGCTAACCGATACACACACGTGTACACACAACACACTTGTATACACACACAACACACTTGTATATACACACACACAACACGCTTGTATATACACACACACGTCTCTATACACACACACACACGTCTCTATACACACACGTGTATTTACATACACGTGTAACATCCACACGCGTGTCCAAGCGTGTACACACACACACAAAGATCAGCATTACATTTTTACTCACGCGACCCGCTCCCCCCCCCCCGAAAAAAATCAATTACCAATCATCATATTGGTCGCGAAATCCGACTGCGTGTTTTTTTTTATTTGCCCCCCCAATTAGCCGAAATATATAAAGAGCATGTCATTTGCATTCATTATAAGTAATCAATTCACACACACACACGCGCACGGCGATTCAATCAATGCACGTGTAGCGAGCCTATTAATTGATTGGAGTGTAGTAGTAGTAGGTTTTTACCCTTTCAACTGGTACAAAAACTGACACCTTTATACAAGGCATCATGTTTGCAATAACCACAACACAAGTTTTTGTACCAGTTGAAAGTGTAAAAACCTACTACTATATTTTGCCACTGGTAAAGCAGATGTCTCATAGTGATTGTTAGTGGTGGATCGTGCCTATACACTAAAATGTGTTGCCGTGTTTATGGTTTTCATCGTACGGTGACGCCTGTCTGACGAGGAAGACGTGTGAGAGATGTCGCTTTTGTGTCGCAGGATGAAAAGAATCAAATGATGACGACTAACGTGTGGCTAAAGCAGGTAATTGTGAATCAGTCACTCCACGATTGTCCTGGCCGTCGTGGTGTCGTCGTTGTTGTTTTTGTAACATCTCGACGTTATAAATGGGTGGCAGCGATGGTGTTGGATGTTAACGGTGGTGCTGATGTTGGTGGTGATTTTCGTAATTATGATGATGATGTTTGTGTTGATGGTGGTGGTGATGTTGGTGGTGATGTTCGTGGTGTGTATGGTGGTGATGTTGGGGGGTGTGTATGGTGGTGATGTTGGGGGGTGTGTATGGTGACGGTGGTGCTGATGTTGGTGGTGATGTTCGTGATGTGTATGGTGATGATGTTGGTGGTGATGTCCGTGGTGACGGTGGTGCTGATGTTGGTGGTGATGTTGGTGGTGTGTATGGTGCTGATGTTGGTGGTGATGTTGGTGGTGTGTATGGTGCTGATGTTGGTGGTGATGTCCGTGGTGACGGTGGTGCTGATGTTGGTGGTGATGTTGGTGGTGTGTATGGTGCTGATGTTGGTGGTGATGTCCGTGGTGATGGTGGTGCTGATGTTGGTGGTGATGTTGGTGATGTGTATGGTGCTGATGTTGGTGGTGATGTCCGTGGTGATGGTGACAGTGGTGCTGATGTTGGTGGTGATGTTCGTAATTATGATGATGATGATGTTTGTGTTGATGGTGGTGGTGTTGGTGGTGATGCCCGTGTTGATGGTCGTGGTGTTGATGTTGGTGGTGTGTATGGTGATGATGTTGATGGTGATGTTGGTGGTGATGGTGACGGTGGTGCTGATGTTGGGGGTCATGTTCGTAATGATGATGGTGATGTTTGTGTTAACGGTGGTGCTGATGTTGGTGGTGATTTTCGTGGTGTGTATGATGCTGAGGTCGGTGATGATGATGGTGGTGATGGTGACGGTGTTGATATCGACGACGATTATGTTGGTGGTGATGTCTGTAGTGTGTATGGCGATGATGTTGGTGGCGTGTATGGTGTTGATGTCGGTGATGATGTCGGTGATGATGATGGTGGTGGTGGTGGTGCCCGACGCTAGGAGTGGCACGACTACAAGCTGCAGTGGGATCCCGCGGACTACGAGAATGTCACATCCATCCGCATCCCGGCGCAGCTGATATGGGTGCCGGACATCGTGCTCTACAACAAGTGCGGCACCACACCAGCACCGCGGGCACGCACAGCGACACCACACCAAGGGACCGTCCATAAATGACGTCACGCACCTAGGGGGGGGGGGGGTAAGACATTTGTGACGATGTGTGACGAGGGGGGGGGGGGGGGGTTGAGAAATGTGACGTCACATCAAAGATGCGCTACTTTAAATAAATATAGACAACACGTTCTACTTAATTAAATAGACTTTTTAATAAATGTTTTCTCCTACAACATTAGAGTGCAGCGCCACATTAAATACGCACTACAATGACAATAGTTTAAAGCGATTTGAAGCATGTTTTATTTTTTTTGGGGGTGGGCAGAGCTTTGTGACGTCATATTTGAGGAGGGGGGGGTCTGACTTTTTGTGACGCCGCGTGACGAGGGCGGGGGGGGGTAAAAAAATCGTTCAAAATCGCGTGACGTCATTTATGGACGGCCCCTTAGACATGGAGTGACACGGGGCTGAGACGGAGCCATACCACACCACACGGAGCGACAGACAACCTCGTAGCCACCGTGCACACTCCACGCGTCCAGCCGCACAGGCCCCACGCAGTCACGCAGGGCCACGCCACGACGCACGGAATTACGGATAAGACGCACGCTGGGATTACTCCGCACGGCATCGTCGGACAGGGGCCCCATGCGCGTCTGTGTCTGTTCGCGTGTGGGGGAGCGGTAGTGTAGCGGTCAGCGCTCTGCGCTGCGGACCCGGCGACCCAAGTTCGATTCCCGCTCACGGCCAAACACCGGTGACGATCGTCTGAACCGGTCGACTCAGCCGCAATATGAGTACCTGGTTCGGTGTGCAAACATCGCCACTAGGGAGACAAAGGCGGCCGGGCGTGGTGTTTGTCAACCACCCCCTCGTATGCTGTGCCGGTCTTTATAGGCGCTCGCTAACAGCACTTGCTCCTACAGCCTGTCAAGGCTACACGGGAGATCTTTGTCTTCGTAGCGTGCAGAGTGTCACAAAGGCACCGTGCCGCACAGCGCCCGCTGTGCCACCCGGCGCTGTCGACGCGTCGCCGCCTCGTTGTTCCCATCCGCACCGCGTCACGTCGCACTCCAGCGGGCCAGCCGACAGCACGGAGCACGCGGAGCCACGCACAGTTCCAGTAGCGCCATCCAGAGTGTGCAGGCGGTGCAACTGCACCGGCGCCTGCCAGGCGACCGAACGGGCTCTGCGCGAGAGGAGGAAAATTGAACGGGACCCGTGCCGACCACGATATTCCGCTGACTCCACATCGTCAACCTCCTCCTACCTCTTCCTACCAATCTCCACCAACCTCTACATTCACGCACCTACTCCCCCCCCCCCCCATCTACTTTCTCCCATCTCCATTGATATGCACCCACTCACATCTCACCTACCTCCGCGGATGTCTGTCCCCATCGTGCCCCTGCTGTGTATTTTGATCTTTCTGCCCGTGTCGCCACGTGTCACTGTGCCTGTGCTGCCTTCGTCTCCCCGCCGTCTCTCCTGCCGTCCCCACCGTGTCCTCACCGTGTCCTCACCGTGTCTCTCTGTGTGTCTCTTCCTCACCGTGTCCTCACCGTGTCCCTGCCGTGTCTCTCCTGCCGTCCCCACCATGTCCCCGCCGTGTCTCTAGGTGTGTCTCTTCCTCACCGTGTCCTCGCCGTGTCCTCACCGTGTCCCTGCCGTGTCTCTCCTGCCGTCCCCACCTTGTCCCTGCCGTGTCTCTCTGTGTGTCTCTTCCTCACCGTGTCCTCACCGTGTCCTCACCGTGTCTCTCCTGCTGTTCCAACCATGTCCCCGCCGTGTCTCTCTGTGTGTCTATTCCTCACCGTGTTCTCGCCGTGTCCACGCCGTGTCTCTCCTGCTGTTCCCACCATGTCCCCGCCGTGTCTCTCTGTGTGTCTCTTCCTCACCGTGTCCTCACCGTGTCCACGCGGTGTCTCTCCTGCCGTCCCCACCATGTCCCCGCCGTGTCTCTAGGTGTGTCTCTTCCTCACCGTGTCCTCGCCGTGTCCTCGCCGTGTCTCTCCTGCTGTTCCCACCGTGTTCCCGCCGTGTCTCTGTGTGTCTATTCCTCACCATGTCCCCGCCGTGTCTCTCTGTGTGTCTCTTCCTCACCGTGTCCTCACCGTGTCCTCACCGTGTCTCTCTGTGTGTCTCTCTGTGTGTCTCTTCCCCGCCGTGTCTCTCTGTGTGTCTAGTCCTCACCGTGTCCTCACCGTGTGCGTCTCTCTCTCTTCCCCTCCTCTCTCTCGGTGTCTCCCAGCGCGGACGGCGACTTCGCCGTGACGCACGTGACCAAGGCGCAGCTGAGGCACACGGGCGACGTGCGCTGGACGCCGCCGTCCATCTACAAGAGCTCCTGCAACATCGACGTCACCTTCTTCCCGTTCGACCAGCAGAACTGCAAGATGAAGTTCGGCTCGTGGACCTACGACAAGGCCAAGATCGACCTGGTGAGCATGCACACGGACGCCGACCTCAAGGACTACTGGGAGAGCGGCGAGTGGGCCATCGTGAAAGCGGTGGCGAGGTACAACACCAAGAAGTACGACTGCTGCCCGCAGGTCTACCCGGACATCACCTACTCGTTCATCATCCGACGCCTGCCGCTCTTCTACACCATCAACCTCATCGTGCCCTGCCTGCTCATCTCGTGCCTCACCGTGCTCGTCTTCTACCTGCCCTCGGACTGCGGCGAGAAGATCACCCTGTGCATCTCCGTGCTGCTGTCGCTCACCGTCTTCCTGCTGCTCATCACCGAGATCATCCCGTCGACGTCGCTCGTCATCCCGCTCATCGGCGAGTACCTCCTCTTCACCATGATCTTCGTGACGCTCTCCATCGTCATCACGGTGTTCGTGCTCAACGTGCACCACCGCTCGCCGGCCACGCACAAGATGCCGCGCTGGGTGGTCACTCTCTTCCTCGACGTCATCCCGCGCTGGCTGCTCATGTGCCGGCCCGTCCACTCGACCATCGGCAGCGCCGGTGCCGGAGGCGGCGGCGGCGGTGGCGGTGGCCCCGTTGCCACCGCTGTCCCCAATCTGACCGCGCGGAGGTCTTCCAAACACTACTTCCACCAGCAGCAGATGATGCAGCAGCAGCACTGTCAACAGCACCACCAGCACCACCAACAACGTGGTAACGGTCACAGCGGTGGAGATCACCACCTCCATCAGCTGCGGAATCTACAACTTCAGCAGCAGCAGCAGCAGCAACAACAGTCGCAGCATAATCATAATCAGCACCAGCACAACCAACAGCACAACCACCAGCAGCAGCATCATCATCAACAGCAGCAGCAGCAACATCAACAGACGCAGCAAAATCATAATCATCACCAGCATAACCATCAGCAGCAGCAGCATCAACAGCAGCAGCAGCAAGGGGATGACGGCTGCAATCTGGGCTTGGTGCTGGACCTGGACGGGCTGCAGATGACCGACGACAAGCCCAGGGCGGCGTCGTCCTCGTGCACGTGCAACGGGGTCGGCGCGGCGGCATCGGCGGCGCCGTCAGCGCCAGCGTCGCCAGCGCCTTGGGACCGCTGCGGGGGGGCCAGGGCCCAGGGAGGCCTGGGAGAGTGCCTGGATTTCTCCGCGGCACCCGCGACCCTCTGGCAGGCCATGGAGGGCGTGTGCTACGTCGCCGACGAGCTGAGGGCCGGAGATGCCGACTACGCCGTGAGTGGTTGTGGTGGCGGTGGTGGTGGTTAGCGCACTGCGCTACAAGCCCGAGTTTTATTCCTGTTCACGATCAATGACAGTGACGGGGAATGTTTGATCTGGTCCTGAGCCTCCCCTAGGTGATCATAATCATCGTTGGTATCAGCATTGCAATCGACATGATCAGGCATTCTCATTGTCAACAGCATAATTTACATGAACATCATCAGCATTGTCATTATAATTAAAATCTGCATCATAATCAACATCACCATCAACATTGTTGGCATCATTATCACCAATAGCAGCAGCAGCATCATCAACATCATCAGTATCAGCATCATCGGAACATCATTGTGATCACCATTGGCAACAGCATAATTGGGATCAACATCATCAACAACTTTCGATTTAAAGCTTTCGTGACTGCAGGGATTCATCTTCTTGTTTCTTTCGGTAAAGTCACGTAGAAGGGAAGTAATAAAATAATAAAAATAAAACATAATAAAACAATTCTCACGACGTTTCGGCTACAACGCAAGCAGCCGTCTTCAGGTGAAGAATGAGACACTACCAAACTAGGAGCTTATATATAAGCTGCATTGGGGGTTGAAGAGCGCCTTAACAAAAAGAATGTGCATGTGAAGAGGAATTTAGCATATTCATGGAAAATGCGTAGGCGTTGGGCGGGGGGGTGTCAAAGTCATATTATGCCCATGCATTATGCAGGATCAGCAGCAACCAAGGGGGGTGCAGGGATTAGCAGTAACAAAGGGAAGGAATGTTAATGATATGTAGCTGCAGTTACTCAACAACCACGTAGAAAACTAAAGTATAAACTACATAAAAAACTAAAGTATAAACTGCATCGCACCATCAGTATACTTACTATACTCTATAATAAGCTGAGTTACTAACAGCAAGTAATACATTACCATTCTACCTCGTAAAAATTCTATAATATGCTTCCATCTAGACCTTATTCTCTTACATCACACGAGCATATACCGTACTATATACTGCCATAGATAAACCCAACATTAAATTATATACTGTATTGCTGTAAACCAACCTATATCTTATACATTTAATATAACACTATGTATTATTCTACACACCCTAATGTGTGTCGAAATGGTTTATTACGTCCTTCCAATGATTGCTGAGCCAGAATCCATCTTCTCGGTTAAAATTGTCTCTGTGTTTGTATATGTGGATCGCCTCATGAACGAATCTCTCATGATAGCCAGATGGCTTGCAGAGAACCTCTGTCTTGGAGAAGTCAATATCATGTGAGCCCACTGAGTTGTAACAGTGATCTGCCACGGCTGAGGTGTTTGTCCTACCGTGTTTCAGGTCAGCTTTATGTTCACGGATGCGGTCCGAGACATGTCGTTTGGTTTCCCCAATGTAACTGCTACCACAGAGGAAACTTAGTTTGTAGACGCCAGGGTACTGTATGTCTGGAACCACATCTTTTACAGACGGTACCAGATCACGGATTTTATGTACTGTGTTGAATCGGACCTGGATCTTGTGTTTAATCAGGATTTTGGAGATCTTTTTTGTGACCCCAGCATGAACACATTTCCAGTGAACTCAAACACGTACGCCAAGCTCTTAAGGCAAATGGTTACTCCGACTATACAATCCGCAAAGCCATCACTCCAACCATCAAGAAGGATCCTGTTGAGGAGCCTTTCAAGACCATCACCTTACCCTACATTGCTGGGGTCACAAAAAAGATCTCCAAAATCCTGATTAAACACAAGATCCAGGTCCGATTCAACACAGTACATAAAATCCGTGATCTGGTACCGTCTGTAAAAGATGTGGTTCCAGACATACAGTACCCTGGCGTCTACAAACTAAGTTTCCTCTGTGGTAGCAGTTACATTGGGGAAACCAAACGACATGTCTCGGACCGCATCCGTGAACATAAAGCTGACCTGAAACACGGTAGGACAAACACCTCAGCCGTGGCAGATCACTGTTACAACTCAGTGGGCTCACATGATATTGACTTCTCCAAGACAGAGGTTCTCTGCAAGCCATCTGGCTATCATGAGAGATTCGTTCATGAGGCGATCCACATATACAAACACAGAGACAATTTTAACCGAGAAGATGGATTCTGGCTCAGCAATCATTGGAAGGACGTAATAAACCATTTCGACACACATTAGGGTGTGTAGAATAATACATAGTGTTATATTAAATGTATAAGATATAGGTTGGTTTACAGCAATACAGTATATAATTTAATGTTGGGTTTATCTATGGCAGTATATAGTACGGTATATGCTCGTGTGATGTAAGAGAATAAGGTCTAGATGGAAGCATATTATAGAATTTTTACGAGGTAGAATGGTAATGTATTACTTGCTGTTAGTAACTCAGCTTATTATAGAGTATAGTAAGTATACTGATGGTGCGATGCAGTTTATACTTTAGTTTTTTATGTAGTTTATACTTTAGTTTTCTACGTGGTTGTTGAGTAACTGCAGCTACATATCATTAACATTCCTTCCCTTTGTTACTGCTAATCCCTGCACCCCCCTTGGTTGCTGCTGATCCTGCATAATGCATGGGCATAATATGACTTTGACACCCCCCCGCCCAACGCCTACGCATTTTCCATGAATATGCTAAATTCCTCTTCACATGCACATTCTTTTTGTTAAGGCGCTCTTCAACCCCCCAATGCAGCTTATATATAAGCTCCTAGTTTGGTAGTGTCTCATTCTTCACCTGAAGACGGCTGCTTGCGTTGTAGCCGAAACGTCGTGAGAATTGTTTTATTATGTTTTATTTTTATTATTTTATTACTTCCCTTCTACGTGACTTCACCGAAAGAAGCAAGAAGATCATCAACAACATCACATGCATCAGCACCATCGCTATAATTATCATCATCAAACAACCATCAACGATATCCTAAATTGTTTCGTGAGATGTCATGCTATGAAATACCGTAATTCGTTTTTTTAGATTCAAATATCCAGCAGAGCAGAGATCATTTAAAATCAGCACCGTTTGTCTGATAATGGGAAACCATTAATTGGCCAATTTTTTTATTAAACCGTTCATGGGGAAATATTTTTGTTAATTATAATCCTCATCAGGCCCCATGGTGTTTGCTGCTGTCTCAAACTCTTATCCATTCTATCTCTCTGGCCTCACTATTGTATGTGCTATGAAAAAGGGTAATTGCCCGAAACGTTGCCTATTATACCCCCCCCCCCCCCCACTTTAAGGCCACGGTGTCATTGACGAATATGTTGAGTTTAAATAAAAATGCATTATTTGTACGCGTGCACCACTGCACATTGCAGCAGCACCACCAAATAATGAATCTGATAAACAGCGCCGCCTGCTGATCATCACCACCACCAACACCTCCAAAGACAAAGACCCCCCGTATAGCCTTGACCGACTGTTGGGGCAAGTGCTGTTAGCGCGCGTCTACGAAGGCCTGCCGCCTTTGTCTCCCCAGCGGCAATGTTTACACACCGCAGCAGGCGCTCGTTTGAAGCTGAGTCGACCTGCTTAACATCGAGAGAGAGGCATACACGGGCCTACCCCGAGTCTGGAATTAAGGGGCCGTCCATAAATGACGTCAAGCACCTAGGGCGAGTGGGGGCGGGGTCAGACATTTGTGACGATGTGTGACGAGGGGGGGAGGGGAGTTGAGAAATGTGACGTCGCAACAAAATGCACAACTTTAAATAAATATAGACAACACGTTCTACTTAATTAAATAGACTTTGTAATAAATGTTTTCTCCTACAACATCAGAGTGCAGCGCTACATTAAATACGCACTACAATGACACTATTTTAAAGCGATTGGAAGCATGTTTTATTTGGGGGGGGGCGGGGCAGAGCTTTGTGACGTCATATTTGAGGGGGGGTCTGACTTTTTGTGACGCCGTGTGACGAGGGGGGGGGGAGGTCAAAAATCGTCCAAAATCGCGTGACGTCATTTATGGACGGCCCCTAAACGACGAGAGGGAATCAAAAGCACGGATATCAGGAGGAGCCGATTTCTGACATAAGCTGCCCAACCCCTGAGACAGAGACACCCAGACAGCCAGGGCTTGAACTCAGGCAGCTGAGAGGGTTGGGCTCAGTTGTCTAAAACAGGACTCGCCTCCCTCTGAGACAATGAGACAAGACAAAGACCCCCCCCCCCGGATAGCCTTAACAGACTGTTGGGGCAAGTGCTGTTAGCGAGCACCTCTGCGACAGACACACACCAACGCATAATCCCACCAGCTGAGGTCTTGAGAGAGCTTGAGGCTCAAATAAAAGCTGCCAGATTTCTGGGAGGCTCAGCCGGGACTCATGGGGACGTTAAGGTCCATACCCCTTCCGTGAACTCGGTCCACTACTCAGGTCTCCCACGCCTTGGGCCGTATCACGAGTTGAGCGTGAAGCCAGAAGGTCTATCAGGGCGCCGCACGGTGGCTAGGAGATGTTAACTACCTCGCCTGGTATACAGGAGGGTCGTGGGTTCGATCCCGATCCTGACGGCTGCATATTTGACGCCTGCATATACAGACGGCCGTGGGCACACGCGCCCGTGTGTAAAGAGACGTTCTGTTCTTAAGGTCTTACATTGATGATGATGAACACATCCACCAAGAAGAACGAAGACTGCCCCCCGTGGTCGCGTAGATTTATATCTGGGTCCTCTCGTTGTTTCCCTGCTATAGATTTCCACATAATCGGCCACTTCGTTGAGCTATCACTTTGTGGTCGGGTCGCTTCTGAAAAAGAGCTATATAGCTTTTACTCTGAGACCTCCTTTACCAGTGGCAAAATATAGTGATAGGTTTTTACCCTTTCAATTGGTACAAAAACTGACACCTTTATACAAGGCATCATGTTTGCAATAACCACAACACAAGCAGTCATAGTGTAAATGCTTACCCCGAGCTCTCAATACTCTGATAGTGCGCTGTTTTTGAGTTGGCGTCATCTGGTCCAACACCAATGGAGACTAGGCTCTAAGAAAAGCTGTCTCGGGTGTGGACCAATCAACTTCAAGGACAGTGCATATCATTATCATCATCAGCGTTGTTTCTTTTTGTTTGCATTTTGACTTCTTGTGTTGAGGTTATTGCAAACATAATGCCTTGTATAAAGGAGTCAGATTTTGTACCAGTTAGAAGGGTAAAAACCGATTACTATAAAAAATAGAGTCTATAGATTCCTATTAAACCGGAGGTCAAAGTGTTGATGGGTGGGGAGAGGGGGTGGGGGGGTGCAGGAGGGTGGGGGGCGGGCGGATGGAGGGCATCAGGACAAATTCTCTGACATCGCCTGGAGTAGAACTCTTCCTCGCTCATCATATTCCCGGGGTGAACGAGCAGCTCTTGTTAGACGTTAGACTTTGGTTCATGTTTCCCTTGCTTCCGCTGGTGCAGGTGAAGGAGGACTGGAAGTACGTCGCCATGGTGATAGACAGGATCTTCCTGTGGGTCTTCGTCCTCGTGTGCATCTTCGGGACGTTTGGTCTCTTCCTGCCCCCCTGGATCGCCGGTATGCTGTGACCCGGGCCAGCGCTGGACGCGTGACGCCGGGCTCTTCCATTCGCCGATTTAGGGGGTGGCGGAGAGAGAGAGAGGGGGCTGGGATGGGGCGTGTGTGTGCTGTATTGATGAACGATGGAAATAGTGTTTTGATGTTTTAAAAGCGTTTAGAAGGTAAATGAATACAACTATTGAACAGGGTTGAACGAAGGGAGGTGAAATTACGAAATTCATAATCGTCGTTATTTCTGACCGCCTGACGTTTAAGGCACATTTGTCATCAAATATCATCATCATTCAGTTGCTGCTTAAAACAAATACGACCGCGTAATGGTGTGTGTGTGTGTGTGTGTTTTAAGGTCTCATCACAAATTATATTTATGATGTGGTTAAACGAAGATGGTCGCGTGACGTTACGCAGATATATCCGTTGTGTTCGTTAAATTGGCACGCATCATTGCACACACAGCGCGTGTATGTATTTACTTATTGATTACAATGTATTATGCACTGTGTGTGTGTGTGTATATACACTTACTGGATGTTTATAGCACGCCATATTCACTCGTGCAATGGACGATGTGTACAATGTTACACAAACACACACAGGTACACAAACATACACAGGTACACAAACACAAAGATCCCCCGTGTAGCCTCTAACAGGTCTTCAACAGACTTTTGGGGAAAGTGCTCTTAGCGAGGACATATGCAGGCACAGGAGAAGGGGTGAGTGATGTGGCTAACACCACGCCCGCCCGTCTTTGTTTCCCCAGTGTTGATGTTTATACATTGCACCCAGGTACTAATTTAAGGCCGAGTCGATCTAGGGGAGGCCCGTAATAGGTCCAAATATTCGCTACCACTGTTATTGGTCGTCGGCGGTAATCGAACTCGGATCGCCCGGTTCGTAGTGCAGTGCGCTAACCGCTGCGCCACCGCTCCCCATAATGCCACACACACACACTGACACTGTTACACACACTCAAAGGCGTTGTTGTTTGAAATAAACCATGGTTCCTCTCGTCTGAGTAAGCTCCTTATTCGCAGGAACTCCCCTGCAGTCTGCAGTCCTGCATTACAATCCATATATACTGCATTTACAACGCAATGATCTGCTTGCGTATGGCAAGATGGTTCAGGAACTGAATGCCCATGACGAGGCCTGCTGCTGCTGGCCGCAACGAGACGACTTCAACAGAGAGAGAGAGAGAGTTCGTGTCGTTTTGCTGTTCCTCCGCTGAATGAGCGCAGACCACAGTCGCTTTACAATACGGTCCATCATTTGTGATGCATTGCCACGATCGCCACCCCTGAGACTTGTCTTCAGTGTATCGAGATGGGTCGCTATCTCTATGAGTCTCTGAGATTTTTCGATTCAAAGCTTTCGTGACTGCAGGGATTCATCTTCTTGGTTCGTTCGGTAAAGTCACGTAGAAGGGAAATAATAAAATAAAATAAATTATATTTTATTGTTTTATTTTTATTATATAAAAAATTAGATGTTATTATGTTTAATTTTTATTATTTTATTATTTCCCCTTCTACGTGACTTTACCGAAAGAACCAAGAAGATGAGTCTCTATGAGTCTAATATCTGTATGGGCCTCTATGAGTTTACTAAATATCGTCCATAGTTTGAGTTACATGGCCACACTCGCACCTCTCTGTGGCTTGTGCCTTGAAAGTTTCATTTGTGAAGGAGATGTGCGCAACGGCCTGTTGACGATGACCTGGTGATGCGATTGATGTCACGGCCAGTGTTTTCGATGAGAAGGGGGAGGAATATAGTAGTAGGTTTTTACCCTTTCAACTGGTACAAAAACTGACACCTTTATACAAGGCATCATGTTTGCAATAACCACAACACAAGCAGTCAAAATGCAAAAAAAAAATATCTGATGATGATAATGATATGCACTGTCCTTGAAGTTGATTGGTCCACACCCGAAACAGCTTTTGCAAACATGATGCCTTGTATAAAGGTGTCCGTTTTTGTACCAGTTGAAAGGGTAAAAACCTATTACTATATTTTGCCACTGGTAAAGGAGGTCTCAAAGGGGGAGGAATCTCAAAGGCACGATGAGACCCCATCATCAACCGAGACCTCGGCAATGTTCCTCGCCGTCGACTCGAGTCCCGATCCTCCTTGTGGGTTCGCGCTGCTGTCACCATCCTAGAACCATACGCAGGTCCGCGTTGGACGCTGACGAACAGTGTGGAACAGTATACTCTTAGTTTTTTCGGTAAAGTCACGTAGGTAAAAAATGAAATTAAAATTAATAAAAAAAATCACGACGTTTCGGAGGCAACACAAGCTTCCGTCTTCAGGTGAAACCGTCACAGCAAAATGACGGTTTCACCTGAAGACGGAAGCTTGTGTTGCCTCCGAAACGTCGTGATTTTTATTCTTTTATTTTTATTAATTTTTATTTCATTTTTTACCTACGTGACTTTACCGAAAAAACTAAGAGTATGAATCCTTGCAGTCACGAAAGCTTCAAATCAAGCGTGGAACAGCGCGGACGTCCAGAAGCAACATCTTCATCGAGACCCCAAACATCACCGCACCTCGTGGCTTTGACATTCCTCCTCGAAGACACCGGCGGTGTCGCCATCAACGGCATCTGAACTTCAACAGACACGCGCCACAGTCGTGCGACGGTGGGCCATGCAACCCAGAACTGTGGACCGCAGAGTAAACCACCGGTAGTCTGCGCTTCTTCGACGGAGGAGGAGGAGCAGCAAAACTACACGAAACGAACTCGGCCATTGAAGCCCTCTCGTCGTGACTGGCAGACCTTGACGTTCGCATTTTATTTCCTGGACGTATCGCTGCACGACGCGTAAAGAGTAGAATGTTATACTGGTAGGAACCACCTGGTTCCACCAGCCCACAGGGGATTATTGTGTTCGTCCGTCGTGCATTCAAAAATGGGAGAGGTGGGGCTGGGTGGAGAGGGGAGGGTGGGGAGGGGCTGGGTGGGGAGGGGAGGGTAGGGAGGGGCTGGGTGGGGAGGGGTAGGGAGGGGCTGGGTGGGGAGGGGTGGGGCTGGGTGGGGAGGGGCTGGTCACCCCGTGGTGCCCTTGTAAAACTCAACGTTTAACCTACTCACGCCGGCTTGTGCCCGCCCTCACAGTCGGCCATATTTGCGGAATACACCACGCCGCCGTTGACCCTGACCATTGACCGAGCAACCCAACGTTCCTACCAGCTCCCTCCGCAAGAATGTGTTTATAATCAAGGGGCCCGGAGGCAATCTGTGAGGCTCGTGACGCGTGTGTCCGGGTTGGCTACAGGACGCCGTGGGGGGTTGATCCTCATGGCGGTACCCTGGGGTACCAAATAACACAAACTGGCCCAGGCAATTAAAAATTTTTTTCTGGGACACTATTTTTTCCAGGGATGTACTTAACTCCGCGATTGGGGTACCAATCAATCCGACAACAGTATTGAAAACGAATTTCGTTAGAACTGCTTCGTTATGTTCAGTTTGTTGTCATTGCCCAGCATCTCCGATTCGTGCGGTGGGCTACGTACGATGTGAAAGAAGTTCAACGTACGGCACGTACACTCTGGACGTCCACGTTGTTCCGCCTCTGTTCGCCAGCGTTCTACCGACTCTGGGTGACAGCAGTGCCGGTCCCAGCAGAGGAATAACGAAATGATCACTGAACATCACGGACAAACCCACCATGCAGCTGTGAATAGGCTGCTGCGTGGCTATGTTGTGGGCAGTGCAGAACAATATATTGTTGTATTGCACTGTTCTCCAATCTATGCTCACACGTCTAATGCTACCCCCCCCCCCATGCTTCATCATCCCGCCACTGGTGGTGAAGTATGGTCCAATAACGACTCGCACGGAGTGGGGGAAGCCCTCACCCTGCAGTAGTCGTGGATTGACCAAAGCCCCTGTGTGGATTAGTTCATTATTACCACTCCACCACGGCGCACGTGCACAACTTGATGTATTGTGCGCTCACATTCTGCCAAGTCCGCATGTTCGAGGTCTGGTTCGTGTTAATGCGTGGAGGCAGGGTGGGGGGGAGATGGGGGGGGACGGGGGGGGGACGGGGGGAGGTGGAAGGTGGGGGGTGGGAGACGCAGGATGGCGGGAGACGTGGGGGGGGGCATGCGGGGTGGGGGGAGACGTGGGGGGGGGGCATGCGGGGGGGGGGCATGCGAGGTGGGGGGGAGACGTGGGGTGGGGGGAGACGTGGAGGGAGGCACGCGGGGTGGGGGGAGACGTGGGGGGGGGCACGCGGGTGGGGACGTGGGGGGACGCTGGGTGGGGGGGAGACGTGGGGTGAGGGGCACGCGGGGAGGGGGGGAGACGTGGGGGTGGACGGGGGGGGGCTCTCTGTCTGGCCAAAGGTGTTTACTTTAGCTCACATTACCTCTGCCGTGGGGATCTTGCAAACACGTGTGAATCTGCGCAACGCACACACAAAGGTCCCCGTATAGCCTGCATAGGATGTTGGTGCAAGTGCTGTTAGCGAGCACCTATTAAGGCCAGCAACGGCGCGCCACTGCCATAGCCCTGGAATGAAAACTCTCAATCCAATAAATAAACAACAAAAACCCCTCCATTCTCTGTGAGAAAAGTCCCTTGAATTAATTGGACGACCCCATCGTAAGTCTAAAATATCGCAAGTCGAAGATGGCCTATCGCTATCGCCATCGTAAGATCGAAATATCGTAAGTCGGGCCGTCGTAACTCGGACTATCTGTACATACAACTCTCACAAAGGTCAAAAGGTCAACGGAGATTTCGTGCTCAGACGAGCGGCAGTCTTCTTCTTCTTCGTCCGGCTGGCTGATGTTCATGTAAGAGAGCAACTGCGGTCGTCGAGCCAGATGATTGCGGCGGGGGGGAGGGAAGCATTGCGGAGTGTGGCGGTGCATCACTTCTGCGATGATGCCTCCTCCTTCGTATTTGTGAATCAGGCCTTGAGTTGTCTATGTTAGATCTTCCATGGACCTGTTCTGGCTAGCAGCAGTCGCCGCCGCACATCGCCGGAGAGGTTTAAAATGTCCTTTTTGTGCGTCATCATCAAGGATACCCGCTTTTGCCACGGTTTGTTCAGATGCAGTGTAAGAAGGTTTGCCACAAATCAGCATTGAGGCAATCTCACGTTTACAACAATGGGCCAGTGGTGGAAATTACACATTCCCATGGCAGGAGGCGCGTCTCTTCCTAGGACGACCACAGTTGACCTCCCGACAAAGCGGTACTAATTTTATCGACCCGGATGGATGGTGGGCTGAGTCAATCCCCCCATCCAACCAGGATTTAAACACGCACTCTTTTTACCGATTGTGAGCCGTTCGTTCTACCACTGAACCACATGGCCGGTTTACACCCTTGCACACGTGTTAACAAACACACATCCACCAACTTCATGATTTGTCATGAGCACTTCTTTCCATGAAAAATCGAAACAAAAAAAAAACCCCATATAGAGCGGTATGATTAAATTTTAAAATCAGAATGTGAATATTGCTTATATTAATTGGATTCGTAAGTCTGCACACACAGGCAGGCAGATTCCCATTTAGCCGGTGTGTACTGCATGTCTATTATACAAAGACAAAGATCCCCCATATAGCCTTAACAGACTGTAGGGGCAAGTGCTGTTAGCGAGCACCTAGGAAGGCCGGAACGGTACACGAGGGAGTGGGTGGGCCAGCACCACGCCTGACCGCCTTTGTCTCCCCAGTGGCAACGTTTACACACCGCACCGCACCAGGTACTCATTTGATGCTGAGTCGACCTAGGGGAGGCCCAGGACCGGTTCAGATAATCGTCACTGGTGTTGGCCGTGAGCAGGAATCGAACCCGTGTCGCCGGGTTCGTAGCGCAGCGCGCTAACCGCTACACTACCGCTCCCCACACACACATACACAAAGATAAAGATCCCCCGTATAGCCTTAACAGACTGTAGGGGCAAGTGCTGCTAGCGAGCACCTATGAAGGCCGGAACGGTACACGAACGAGGGGGTGGGTGGCCAGCACCACGTACATACACACACATATACACACATACATGTGTACTTAATGGAGCACATGCCAAGGCGCTTTACTCCCGGCTTCCCGTGCCTATAATGACTTCCCTGTGTGTGTGTGGCGTTGAGGGAGCGGCGGCGCAATGGTTAGCGCACCGCGCAACAAACCCGGCCCCGCATGGACATCCATTCCCGGTCAGGGCCCACCATAAGTGGCGAGTGAAGGAGATAAGCTGGTGCGGTGGGTAATACATCAGCAGCGGGTGGTGAGACAGCCGGCTCGTGGTGCTTTCCGCACCACCGCCCTCGCCTTCTCTCAGTAGATGCTCGCTAACAGCGCTTGCCCCAACAGTCTAGACGGGGGATCTTTGGTTTTGTGCAAAGCCGTAATTATAATATATATTGGCATACACCCCCCCCCCCCAATAATCAAATATGCTTAAAATGTCCCCCCCCCCCCCAATATATTGCTATAAAATATTTTTTTAAAAATAATAATTGCGATGCTATGTAAATAAAAACAACAATTTGCTAAACCTTAGCCACAATAATGCATAGATTTATGTTTATATGATTGTGGTTATGGTTGTACTTTATGAATCCCTAATCTCCGCCATTACATACAATGAAACAAGAAAAGGTAAAAAAGAAAAACAGCAATTTAATACAATACACTATTAGACATTGTTGTAAAAAAGAAAAAAAAGTCCATCCCATGTGTGAGTGAATTTTTTTATATTTTAGGCAGGAAATGGCAGGAAATTAGTTTTCAAATTTAGATTTTTTGCTGAGGGGGGACCCCATACCCCCTGGAAGATTTGGTCCCCCCCAATGTTGCCTCCATGGCCACGGCCTTGGTTTTGTATATAATATTCAGCGTATTCTGTGTGCGAGTGGGGAATGTTGCAACTTCGGTGTCGCGTTACAGTGCGAGGATTCCTCCGCAAGGCCCGGGACCTGTGAGTGCACGGTCCCTGTCACAAGGACGGAGAGAGGAGAAGCTCACGAACCAATCTCGTCCCAGACCTCTCCACCACCGCCGCACCCCCCCATCCACCACCCTCCGCCCTGCCCTGTCCACCGCCACTTAAATAGAAGCCATGCTGCGGGTCTGAGCCCCTGAAACAGCGAGAGTTGAGGCCGGGAGTTTCGGAGTCTATAGGAGGGGAGGCGGGGACATCGGGAGAAGAGATTAGGGAGTGCGGGGAGCCAAGAATTCGCAGGCGAAAGGAGGTTGGAGGCTCAATAGTATATGCGGTAGAAAACCCAGGGATATATGTGAGACCAAGAGGGAAGTAAATCGAGACACCTAGGACCTTGCAGGCGTCTGAGGACGTGTGAGTCTCTGAAACCAGAAATTGAAGAGACCAGGCCACCAAGAGGCTAGGAAACTCAGAGCCGACACGTCCAGGAGACTCGAAATCCAGGCGACCTTCGGTCAATTAGAGTCCGTGCGTTCAAGTAAGCAGGTGACAAGTAGCCCAGAACACCAGGAGCTCAACAACCCAAGAGACAAGGATTCTCAGAGCCCAGACGTGCAGGAAACCACAGATCTAGGAGATCAGAGAACAGGATTCTAAGGTGACAAGAAATCAGGAGGTAAGCTGACAAGGAGGCCAGAGGAAACCAGTATCCTAAGAGTCAAGGAGATCAGTGCTTCTTGTAATGGGGGCTCCATTCACCGGCTGCCTGGCCTTAGGGCTCATGCTCGCCGCCTGGAGCCTCGGCTCCACCTCGGAGCCTGGGAAGGTTCGGCCGGGCCGTCAGCACGATGAGGTAAGTGCGCCCCCCATCCTGGAGACCGGGACGTTAAGAGGGCCCACACGCGAGGTGGCTCAGAGGGTCGGAGCGCCGTGCTCGCACCGCTGAGATGCTGGGTTCATATCCGAGCAGCTCTGCTGCTTGTCGTTGAACTTCTTTCGCACCGTACGTAGCCAAGCGTGATAATCGGAAGTGCGGGGGAATGCCAACTTAGTACAAAAAGCATTTCTAAAGAAACGAGTTTGCAATATCGATGATTTAAAAGTGCGCAGCTCCCAGTGGCTTCCTAATATCGTCCAGGAAGAACGTTCCAGACGGCCGCAGAAGCGCGTCTGAAAGCGCGCGATGCAGTGGATCGTCTTTGTTCGATGGCCAGACAAAAGCCGCTGCTGCCGAGGATGACCGCAGTTCGCGTGATGGTGGTTTATGCTCCCTTGACGAGATCAGCAAGGTGTTGCGGTTAATTTGCGACAAGAACTTTGTGTGTGTATACAACGTTCGGCGACCTTGTGATGCGACCGGGTCCTCAAGTGGCACGAGTTGATGGTCTCAGCCTCAGTGACAAATGACTCCGTGATAGAAACCATCATTAACATTGGGCTCTGCGCTTAATTGGGATACACTTCACAGTTCTGAGACTTAATAAGTATAACCCGTAAAAACAAAGTTTTTCACTATAAATCCTTTATATGCGTGGCGGCTAGAGTCCTCTCGTCCTCTGGCTTGAGATGGCTGCCACCTATGGGTCAGATGATTGCATTGCACCATTAAGCAATTGGTAATTAAATATAATATTTAGTCCTAAAAAGTGTAAAATTTTTGAAAAATAAATTTCACGAACATTAATTGTCACGCACAACGAGTCTGTGTGGAAAATGTCAGCTCGATTTGATCACGGGAAGTGGGTTAAAAAAAACGACCGAAAGATTTGCACGGTCCTAAGCAAGCAAGCAAACTTAATATAAAGGATTTAAAAAAGGATATCGGTTTGAAGGCCAGTGTCCGTTTACATTCCTCGCCACCTTCACCAAATCTGCACCAACCAACGTGGTGAAGTATGGCCAAACGACCCTAGCGGTGAGGGGAGGCTCTCATCCAGCAGTGGATCGACAGGGGACTGTTCACCTGCGTCGTGCGTGTGGCACCTCGAGTGAGAACAAGCATGCATACGCGTGGATTCTGTAATGCTTTACAGCGCGCGCTGGTATGTACGCAAGTATGTTGAACTTCTTTCGCACCGCACGCAACCAACCGTGCTAATCGGTGCTCGGGAAGGACAACAACAAAAAACTGTTTATGGAAATTAGCTTTCAATCTTAGGGACCGTCCATAAATGACGTCACGCACTTAGGGGGGGGGGGTGTCAGACATTTGTGACGATGTGTGACGAGGGGGGGGGGGGGTTTGAGAAATGTGACGTCACATCAAAATGCGCAACTTTAAATATAAACAACAGGTTCTACTTAATTAAATATACTTTTTAATAAATGTTTTCTCCTACAACATCAGAGTGCAGCGCCACATTAAATACGCACTACAATGACAATAGTTTAAAGCGATTTGAAGCATGTTTATTTTGGGGGGGGGGACAGAGCTTTGTGACGTCATATTTGAGAGGGGGTCTGACTTTTTGTGACGCCGTGTGACGAGGGGGGGGGGGGGTCAAAAAATCGTCCAAAATCGCGTGACGTCATTTATGGACAGCCCCTTATATGATTTAAAAATGCATAGCTCCCAGTGGCTTGTCCTGGGTAGCATTTAATTAACTACTTCGAAAGCCGACGGGTAACTATCATGACAAAATTAATTTGCATATTTGCAAAGTTAATTTTTTTGCCCTGTTTTTTTTCGTCTTCAAGTATTTGCGCAATAAGCCTTTCTGATCAATTCAAGCAACGACACTTTGCACTGAGATTTCGTTCGCCTTGGATCATTCGTTAAGACAGTTATCGTGGCCGCATGTTACAGCCGACGGACGGACAGAGCGAATGCATTAACGCACCAACATTAGTTGGAAATCTTTCAAGAATGATGATGATGACGACGACGATGGTGATGCTGGTGGGGTGTGCGAGCAGAGAGCGGTGGGAACGGCGACCGGGCCGTGCCCCTTTGGGGTCCCAGGCCCCTCTGGCCGCGATGGCCTGCCCGGACCCAGCGGGACCCCGGGAACTCCGGGGGTCCCTGGCCTGCCAGGGAGGGACGGGACCCCAGGGCTCCCTGGCAGAGACGGCCCTGCCGGGGAGTGCGGGGAGCGGGGAGACCGGGCCGAGCGAGGGATCTGGAAGCCCAACATCAAGCAGTGCGCGTGGAACGCATTCAACAACGGCCAGGACCTGGGCAAGATACAGGTAAGGACACCTGCACCAGGTACAGACGGTCCATACCTGTCAACTCCTTATCAGGGCATACCTTATTGCAGACCAATTCAGACCTTTTTGGTCACCCCTGTGTCCTTAAACATCTCAACGTTCATCCTTCAAAGTCCCATCACAAGGGAGAAACACATATTCTTAGGTTTTTCGGTAAAGTCACGTAGATCAAAAATTTAAATTCATAAAAGTAAAATAAAAATAAAACACAAACAAATAGACAAAGCATGTTTTTTGCCGTATTGAAACAGCTGTACTCCGTATGGACCTGATAACTATAAATTCCTCTTGATGTGAAACTTTCGTGACTGCAGGAATCCATACTCTTTGGTTCTTTCGGTAAAGTCACGTAGGTAGAAAATAAAATCAATCACGGCGTTTCGGGCGCAACACAAGCGTCCATCATCAGGTGGGAAAACATGGTCTGCTGCTGATGCAGACTGTTTTAAAAGGTTTGAAATGGGAGTAGCTCAAGGGTTATAAAGAAGTGGCCAGGGCGAATGATGTTAATGTGAGAACTTTACATTTGGTTGACATTGAAGTAGCAGAAGAGACTGTCATGTTATCTAAATGGTCCCAATCAGACGTGGACATTATACCACTTATTTTATTTTATACCTACGTGACTTTACCGAAAGAACCAAAGAGTATCAATATCCCTGTTCAAGAATACGGGTAAACCGTATGGGTTGACAGGTATGAGACGTCACCTTTATATATTACTTGCACATGGACATCATCTATAGATATCACTTGGACATAGACACCACCTGTACGAAACGGTGGACGTTAAAGATCCCAGGACATCATTTACAGGCCGCCATTGTGTGCCGGTGCCATAGTCCCACTTTGGCAAATTGGAGAAAAAAAGAGATACACCACAAATCACTGCGAGAACTTGGCAGGACCTTCCTGACAAAAAAACGTCACGAGACTCACTTTTTTTTCGATTTAAAGCTTTCGTGACTGTAGGGATTCATCTTCTTGGTTCTTTCGGTAAAGTCACGTAGAAAAAAAATCTGTTGATATGCAAATTCCTTTGTCAAGGCGCCCTTCCTCCCCTAACCCAGCTTAAGTATACGCTGCCAAACTTGGTGGTGTTCATTCAGACGCTGTCTTTCCGACAGACCTGTTCTTCACCTGAGGACGGCTGCTTGCGTTGTGGCCGAAACGTCGTGAGAATTGTATTTTATTATGTTTTATTTCTATTATTTTATTATTTCCCTTCTACTTAACTTTACCGAAAGAACCAAGAAGAGACTCACTTTGTCAGTGACGTTTTCCTGGCCAAACAAGCAAAATAATACAACAATAATAATAACCATGAATCTGCTATACACAAGCTTCTCCTTTCGTGCGAAGCCAAGGCAAATTTAACCTTTTACCTCCCCCCCCTCACTGACCTTCACTGCCCCCCACTTCTCTCTGGGCGCCCTTCCCTACTACCCCCCCCCCTCCTTTCTCCCCACAGTCGTGCACCTTCACGAAGGAGCGTGGTGACAGCAGCGTGCGCGTGCTCTTCTCGGGCGCTATGCGCCTGCGCTGCTCGGTGCCGTGCTGCTCGCGCTGGTACTTGACCTTCAACGGCGCAGAATGCTCCGGCCCGCTGCCCATCGAGGCCATCGTGTACCTGGACCCGGGCAGCAGCCCCTCCGAGACCAACGCCTCCATCAACATCCACCGCACCACCAGTGGTGGGTAACCCGCCGGATTGTACACGGTGGCTCGGAGATGTTGATGACCTCGCCTGGTGTACACAGGAGGTTGTGGGTTCCATCCACGAATGACTGTATTATATGAATGAGACCTGCGAGTCAAGGAATGTATGGGTTCACGCCTGAGTTCGGGTGGGAGCCATGGTGGCGAGATGTTAACTGCCTCGCCTGGTATGCAGGTGGTCGTGGGTTCAATTTAGACCCTGACGCCTGCTGTATATTTGGAGTTTGCAAGTTCTCAACGTGATCGCGTGGATTTTTCCCCCGGATCCTCCGGGTTTTCCCCTCCACAATTAGAACCGAAACGTGCGTTTCGAGTATTCGGCTGCTGTACAATTTCCACGTGAGAAACCAACTCCGTTGAGCTTATTATTCTTAAAGTTATATAGCCATGGGTGGGCGAATCTGAGAGTGAAGTTTCGTGGGAACGGTAACCGTGTTCGTAGCGATAGGAGCACGACGCGGAAAACTCCAGAACCACCGGTGGGTGTACGGCGGAGGTGCTTATCAGCTGTACCTTCCCTTTTAGCCCCCCCCACCCTCCCAGTTCCTGACTGCCACATTTAGATAAAGCTCCTCCCCACTCCCCTTAACAAGTATATATAAGATCTTGTCTCTTGGATTTCTCTTCACTTGATACAGTAAATTTGGCTGTGACGGTCCCACCTGAAGACGGAGACTTGTTGCTTCCGAAACGTCGTGATTTAATGTAGTTATTTTTATTTCATTTTTTTTTACCTACGTGACTTTACCGAAAAAACCCAAGAGTATGAATCCTTGCAGTCACGAAAGTTTCAAATCTAGAAATGATGTACGGCAAGCTTCTTTCGAGCTGTGCGTAGCCAACCGTGCCGATCGGAGGCGAGCGGTACAACCCCAAGTGAATCGGCGAGTGCCCGCTCATCAGAGGTCGCAAACGGATTTTGATTCCTTACCTGTACCCGTTCCCTACCCGTACCCTACCCGAAATGAGTGACAAACGGTTACTCACCAGTGACTCACGGCCTACCCGTACCCGGCCGCACCAGGCTCGCAAACGGCTACCTGTACCCGGTTGCGGCCTCTACCGCTCATCAATCCGCCAGTGATTTTTTTTGGCGTTTGCGCGTAACCATGTGCCTCCCCCCCCCCCCCGCTTCCCCGTGCACCGCCAGTGGAGGGTTTGTGCGACGGTGTGTCGGCCGGGGTGCTGGACGTGGCGCTGTGGCTGGGCACGTGCGCCGTCGGGGGCTTCCCGCACGGGGACGCGTCCACCGGGTGGAACTCCGTGTCGCGTCTCATCATCGAGGAGCTCTTCAAGTAACGGGCCGAGCCTTCTCGCTCGCTTCCCCCACCACCCCCCCCCCCCCCCCCACATTGAAACCGTTCAATTTGGAGTATTAGTGTCGGATTATGAAGTCAGTAAAAAACTGGTTCACACACATGTTGTTGCATTGGGACTTTCTTTCACCGTACATGTCCAAGCCTTGGTCATGATATTTCATGTGTTAATTCCATCTACTTTATATTCGTGGTTCTTTTGGTAGTCACGTAGAAGGGAAATAATAAAATAAGAAAAATATAAAACAATAAAAATTCTCACGACGATAATTATAAATTTTGTAACATTTTCTTGCTGTGGATTTCACACCTGACGATTGCTTGTGTTGCAGTCGAAACGTCGTGAGAATTTTGATTGTGTTATATTTTTATTATTTTATTATTTCCCTTCTACGTCACTTTACCGAAAGAACCAAGAATATGAATCCCTGCAGTTACGAAAGCTTTAAATAAAAAAAATCATCTACTTTGTTTACCCAGGAAAGATTCAACAAGTGTCAACTCTTTCTGGAGGTTCCTGCCAAATTTTAACAGTTGGGCACAATGATTGCCATGTGTACTCCCAATGAAGTCATTTTCAGGTAATATTTTCTAATTTAGCAAATTTGGACCATAACACCAGCACAAAATGGTCTACTCTTGCGAATGCCGTCACAGGATCAAAAATCTTGATTTGAAGCTTTCATGACTGCAGGAATCTATACTCTTTGGTTCTTTCGGTAAAGTCACGTAGGTAGAAAATAAAATAATTAACGTTTTGGTCACAACACAAGCATCCATCATCAGGTTTGTGCCCAAAACGTCGTGATCTATTTTACTTTATACCTACGTGACTTTACCGAAAGAACCAAAAAGTAAGATAAAAAATGTCCACTGTGAAAGCAGATGGCAAGTAATATTTTTAAGATTAATATGCACAGTATTAAGTCAGGGAGGCTGCTGGATATTAACCGATAAACACACAAATACTTTCTAAAACCTCTTGTGTTACTGTTGGAATAAAGTTTACTTGCGAATACAGAACTAATATTTAATAGAGGTTGATAATATTACACCGTCATCCCGGTTACTATCGAGTGCGCTCAAACATTTGCACTGCATTGACTTTCACACGCAATTGAAGGGCATCTCTTAAAAGATGCTACCGCCCACACAGCAAAACACATAACCATTCCCACCAGGTGTTGGTGGCTGTATGGAAATTAATAAATTAGGCAAACTCTGGGAAGTTAGAAAAACAAATTAAAAAAAAGTTTTTATTATACCACTTATATAGCGTGTTGCGTTACAAGACGAAAAACATTATAGATCAAAATGTTTCCAAAACGAGATTATGTTCAGATCAAGTCACAGAGCCTGACTCACGTTAACTGTACGTACCCCTATAGTAGTAGTGTGTCGGAGTGAGCAGTGCCGAGTGGTAACTCGGCTACTCACACGTATACACGGTACCGTTAAATTAAATAGTTCTCCGCTGAAAAAAAAATTAGACTATGAAACTGACAAAAATGACCACGAGGAGTTGCAAAAATTCTTCTGAACTTTTCTGACGATCAAACACAAGCTCGTTAATATCCAGTATGGATTCATCTCCCCACAAATTGTGATTTGTATAGTTTGAGTGGTCTCTCACTGTTAATATTATAAAATCAGCTGGAGATGAGGCTGGCCACCTTACCATTTTTACCAGGGCTTTGTGTCTAACTGGATACATTTCCGGGCCGTTGGTAGACTGGAGCAGATGTGTAACCAATAGCTACAGACATAGCGAGCGGAATTGCTGGATGTTGGTAGTGTGTGCCGAGTGCGGTGGTCATAAGATGTTCCGGATTGCCAACCCAGACCCCGTCTGAAATCAAGCCCCGACTATAAACGTGTATGGCCACCTCGCCACAATTTTAACATTCACAGGGCAGGTCCCACCTCTTCATTGACAGGTGACGTTTAACACCGTGTCATCTTCATTTTAAAGCCACTCAATCCTTCTGCCCGACGACGCGAAGTCAGAGGAATTCGCGGATGACCCCTGTTAAAGATCTCGCCATACAATCATGCCCAAATCATCATCATATAGTCACGTGGCTGTACCTCGTAAACCGTTCTTATGCCATTCACTGGGGGGGGGGGGGGGGGGGGAATCACAGGCCCATAAGGCTTCACTTTTATTTTATAGACAGCAAACTGTTGCCAAACGACCACTTTTCCAGAAATTAGGGTAGAAAAAATTGGCAAGTTTTAAAAGCTCGCCCATACCTCGTAAACCCGACTACTGTACAAAACGTTTCTTGCAATGCCTCGAGCTTGAGCACAGTTTCTGTTTTTCCGAAACAAAAACTCGCGCAAAGTGGACATTTTTGCCAGTTAAAAAATATAACAATAGAACCCAACAACAACAGCAATGTCACTGAACGCGCACATTCTTAAATATAAACGTCATTAAGTTATAAATGTTATTACTCCTAATTGCATCCTGTTATGTCATTAATTTATGAGTGATTACATGGGTGTGCAAGCCCCCTGGTTAATTCCTTAAGTCAACTACAAAACTCCGTTAATAAAGACAAGCACTATGTTTACATGGCAAGACGACATTCTAGCAATTGCAATGGCCGTAGCAAGATTCGTATGCGTTGATCGATTGATGTTCTTTAACTTCATCAAGGGTAGAGAGATCTCCCATATCTCCGTTGCAAGTGGGATGGGAGTAAAACAACTCATTTGTCAATTTGGCTCAGGCGAATGATGTTCCGACTCTGAGGATTATTGAAGATTTTTTCGGTATCGAAATCGTAGCCGACGGGAGCTCTTTTGCTCGATATGAACGCTCCGCAGATACATTATCGGATGGCCGTGCCGAGGATTGAACCGTCACATTTCGAGCTCAGCGTGCCGACCACTACTAAACCACGCACGCGTCTGCCCGTAATTTAGAATGAGCGACTTTGAGTTTAACATCGCTTTTTTAATTGAAAACCGATGTCAGAAGCTACATAACTTCGTCGAAGCCAGTTATGATTAGGTTGCATGCAAACAAATGCAATCCAACGACCCAATTTAGATCGTAGCAGGGACATCCAATTTGCACAAAATGTTTAACTGAAGTACACTTGAATTTGTGTTCAATTAGGCCAATTCATTCCCATGGTAAGGCAATGAGAGCTGCCGAATATTGCCATGGAAATGGAACATAATGGGTTTCAAAGTGTTGAGATTGATTTTGCATATGGCAATGGGTAAAAATCTCCATTTCAAACGTTTGGACTTAATAATGCGTATCGTCTCATTATGAACCGTTCATTCGAAAGAGAAACCCGTGATTAACTTGAACTTGCCGAGCACTAACTGTTCTAATAAAATAACAAGAGGATTTTTTTAAACGGATTATTATATAATAACACTACCATCAATTATTTCAGTGATATTAAAGACAGATTATATAAAAAAAATATGATAATCTTACAAACGTACCAATCACTATAAATTACAATGAAGAAAACTGTGAGCAGTCCCAGTCCACATGAGTTTCGAACGCACGCTGTAAAGAAATCAGTCTGATACAATATTAATATTACAAGCGAGCCAAGTGAATCCACGCAGTGAGCCTCCGATGCATGTACATTATCAAGTAGTCTCTGATACAGTATTTAGTGTTACAAGCTGGCCGGTACGGTCCATGCAATGAGCCTTAACTGCGCAGGTCATCGTACAAACTTGGCGACTGGATGGAGCCTTAAAAGCATTACAAGCCGGGCAACATCAGTCCACCCAATGAGCCTATGAAATGCACCATAAGACGGTCTCGTCTACACCGATAACATTAAGAAGACATCTCCAGCCAATGGACATCCCCATCCAGTGGAATAACAACGTCCGCAGACTGAAGCATCCTGTTCCGAGGTATAAATGTTTGGGCCGAACAGCTGAGAGAAACGCACTACCCTAAACTTACTACCCTAAAGGGGTGGGAGAGGTAAACACAGTAGCGATGAAGCGAATTCGGATGTGCAACACATTGTCACAACTCAAGATCGCGATTAGATTTAACAAGATATGTTGTTTAAACGTTATGGTTAATGGTAGTGTCGTTGTGATACTTTACACAGGAACGGTGGTTCCCAAACATTCTGGAACCCTTGGGCCAAACTTTGACATGTCAAGGACAACTTTTTGCAGACCACCAAGGTGGTATAAAACACCGTGCGTTTCCCAAACAAATATCCTATCTGCAAAAGTTCCTAACGTGCCATGGGTTTTGAAGCCCACTGATGGTTTAGTGGACCGCATGTTGGGAGCCACCGACATTGAACACAAGATTCGATTAATTTATCGTGAGCGTACATATGGGTTTATACGACTGGATTCATCATTACATCGTAACAACCCGAAGACACTGCCCGGTGCCAAACAGCCTGGTCTAACTCGTGAGCTTGCCAAGGCTAAAGAACAACCTGCATCAATTGCAAGATAAGAAACGCAACGTGGCAGCTAGACGTTGCTTTTACGGAAACGCAACGTGGCAGCTAGACGTTGCTTTTACGTTTACAAAGAATCATCAGTGTAGTTGTATCCCTGCTATACTGCTGGCTGTATAGAAACATCTTCATCTCTCCCCCCTACAAAACTGTTTGGGCATCTGGTCACGAGGAACCAGCGCAGGACAAATATTGTCAGATGTGATTAGAACATCTTCCTCGAGCGGATGAGCAATCTCTATTCCCATCGCCTGGTCTGCGCGGCACAAACATTTCTCATCTCGGCAGAGTTTTTCGTATTTTTTTTTTGAGAGCCAACACTACACAAATGCTGACCAACGTACCAAAGTAGCGAGCCTCCTGAAATGCGTCAACCAAAAACAAAAAGTCGACGGGTGACTTTTGTTCAAAAAAAATAAAAATGCAGAATCCTTCAAAAGGGGGCTCAGCCCAAAAGCAGCTGTGACATTTAAATGACCTGGTTATTTTAATTTCAAATTAGTTACATCAGCTTCTAACTCTCACCTTCCCCAAATGTGAAATGTGAAAAACCAGATCAAAATGCCACGTTCCCATGCCACGTCAAGCGACTCGCGACCGTGGAAGCCTTCATTACACCGGATGATGAGTTTACAGTATTGATCGATTTCCCCCCCTCCCCCCTCCCCCCCAAGTTACACATTTCAAGCACCATGAACATGGGTATGTTTAGTTTTAGTTTTTAACCAACGAAAGTTAAATGTATCGAGAGGAAATGATATGCGGACACGAGCCGCTCGGACGGACACGATGAGGACGATTCTAAATTACAGTCAATGGGAGGGACGGGAACTTCCCTTTCCCCACCGGGGGTTGCCACCTGTACTGGTTGCCCCAGGATCGTCTCCTCTTGTTAGAGGCGGCCGTCCTGGGAAATCTGCTCGTCTTCCGACGACATTAAAAGTCCTGTTTTTTTTTTTTACGAAATACACCGCTCAAGGCAGGTGTGTGTGTGTGTGTGTTCCACGTGTACTTTTCTCCCATCCTTTGCTATTGCGAGATGTTTCTTCTTCCCATATGTCCCGGTTTGTTGTATCCCAGAGGTGGCAACCCGATTTACCACGAAAGGGAGGTGCAGCAAATGAGTGTAAGCGAGGGATTACAGTTATGGTTAGGATCATGGCTGGGCTTAAGGATGTTTTTAGTGCTAGCGGTTGGGCTATTGTCCGAGCCAAAGTTAAGAGTTTAGCCAAACCACAAGACGTTACTTATCGCAGGTATCCATTCAAATTTGACAATCGTCGCTGCAAGAATCCAGTTTTTGTGCTAACACCTCCACTTCCGAAGGCCTTCGTGTAGTTTGAGAGTTTAATAATGTCCCCACGTCTCGTTGTTTCGGCTTTACCCACCATAAAAAAACGGTTAATTTTCGTGCGCCCCAGCGCAATGTCAGCAAACCAGGTGGAAAAATCCCAAACTCCCTTCACCCCCCCCTCCCGCACGCCAAATTCACAAACACACTCCCACTGAGCGTGCGTGGCAACCCGCACGCCACAACAACGCAGCCGTGTCCCCACCCACCTCCGGGGTGAACACGCCTGTGGAGGGATTCGCCGCTATCTTATTGCCGTCCTTCCTGGAATGAACCGCCGATTCGCAACAGCTCTGAGGTTATTATTGTGCTCACTGCTAGAATGTGCTACGTCGTACGCAAAACCTCTTTTGCTGCTGTTAGCACGGAGCTGCACTGTTCGATGATTAAGAGATTAGCCGACAAAAAAGATCGACTCTCGATTAGAGCTGCAAATAGCGACCAATCGTGTCACCGACCGGAGCTCTGTTGCCATCGATTAGCCGTGAACGACTGGTACAGTATATACACGTTTGTTGTACTCTATTAGGCATTTCCATTAGTTATTTGCATGGGTTAGTGTGTGACACATAGTTGCATGGGCAGACACTGCGAGCCGCAGTAAGGCACCCCAATGAGATGAGGGTTCTCTGTATCGATCAGCCAGTAACTGCAACTGTGTGTGGCATGCCTGCTAGCTCAAGACACCGTGTAAACAGTATACTCGACTAAATCAATTTTCCTGCAAAGACTGACGATTTTGAAGCCGACCTAGTGAGACTAAAAAATATGAACTGTTGCAGCTCTCGTCTTGTTCACCCAATCCAAAGCGGTCAGGCAGGTAATCGAAGGGAGAGGGAGGGGAGGGGGGAACTGGGCCCCCCTCCCCTCTCTCCCCCCCGAGGCTCTCCCCAAACACGGGAACCTCGCCTACTCGAGTCATGCTCCCCCTATGGGTGGGAATCGCTGAACCAGCGCCGAGTCCCAGTGAAAGTGGGAAATGGAGGGAAGATTTGCCAATATTCAACAAGTCCCGTTTTCGTGAAACGCTGGCAAGTGTCGTGTGCTCGTGTTCTTAGTGCACGCGGGAAGGAGGTATGCGTTGTGTACACACGAGTGGCGTAGGCCGAGGTGAATTGGCCAGCGCCGCCGTGCGAGAGTACCTTGGTAACAAGCGAGAGAGAGAGAGAATGCGCGAATGCGGTTGTACGTGTGGGTGAGGATGCGAGTGTAGGAACGTGCGTGCGAGTGTTGGTGTGCGCGTGCGTTAGGCGTAGAACTCCTTGGCGGGCGGTGGTTGGAAGACTGGTTCCTTGGTGTCGGCCAGGGCGTACGAGCCCTCGTCCTTCTTCTTCATGCGGTAAATGAGAAGCAGCACAAGGAAGGCGGCGAATAGCAGCCCCACCACGCCGCCGGCCACCACCGCTGCGCAACCACAACAACAACCGCTGAGCACAGAGAACACCATGCATGTGCACATCGACCACAGCAACAACCGCAGAGGAGTCAAACTCGCTCACTCCACCCGAAGATTGCTCCGTTACTCGCACCCTCATACCCACTGCCCGGTCAAGTGCGAAACGGAAGTTGACCGTCTCACACGCTCAACTCCACCTTACCCAATAACTCCGCTACTCCACCACCCCTCTCAGCCACTCACTTCACTTGACCCACTCGCTCATTCGCTCTGTCCATCGAATTTCAATTCCTCCGCTTATCCACTAATCTCGCCCACCCACCCATCGATTCGCTCGCATCATACCGCACCCAACTTGCCCATTCACACACCCACTCGTCCATTCAACCAACCCATTTTATTGGTAGTAACCTCCTGGTTACACCAGCCAACAGCGGATTATTCTGTCCGTCCGTCATGCATCCAAAAATGGGAGGGGTGGGGCTGGGTGGAGAGGGAGGGGCTGGGTGGGGAGGGGCTGGGTGGGGGGTGGGAGGGGTGGGGCTGGGTGGGGAGGGGCTGGTCATCCCGTGGTGCCCTTATAAAACTCAACGTTTAACCTACTCACGCCGGCTTGTGCCCGCCCTCACAGTCGGGCATATTTGCGCAATACACCACGCCGCCGTTGACGCTGGCCATTGACCGAGCAACCCAACGTTACTACCAGCTCCCTCCGCAGGTACGTATTCTCACTCACTCGCCCTCCGACCGCCCCCACCACTTGCCCATACCTGCAAGCACCTCCGTGCGCTCGAGGAGGCTCTCCGCCGTCGTTTTGCGAGCCGACACCTCGTTGTTGACGGGCTCCTCGGGGCGGGGCCGGCCGGTGCGTGGCGTGCCCACCTCGTTAGTGTCCACCTCGTCCCCGTCGCCCACCTCGTTTCCGCCGTCGTCCCCGATGTCGCCCACCTCGTCGCCGGCCCGCCCGATGCCCCTCCCCTCGGGAATTCGGTTGTCGTCCGGCGAGGAGACGGTGGTGGCCGCAGCAGAGGTGGCCTTGGGAAGCGCAAGACGCACGCGGCGTCAATATAAAAACGCGGAGAGCACGGTGCGTGTTATCAACGTGGAGTCATACGATACACATTGAAGCATCGGACATGCCTTTCGCTAAATCACCCAAGCTGTGCTCGACCTAGCCTCGGAAGCTAAGCTGGATTTGAGCCTGGATAGTGCCGTGATGGGCGATTACGGTGCATAAAACAGGTTGTTCCAAGCTGCTGCGCGTGCGGCTACGTTATGGCAAGGCGAGGACAGCGCTATGCTAGGATGTCTTTGGAAGGGTGTCTTTACTGGACATCTGTGAAAAAGATCCTGGACACCTGTGAGAAACAGCTTTAGAAGCTCATCGAATTCCTCCAGTATAAATAAAGATACCGATGCTGGAAGGTGCCGGCACAGCTTTTCTCGGCTCTCTAACAGTTCGTGGAACCGCAGAGAACGCGCGTTGGGCCGCGTGCGTACCGAGGGCCCCACCTCCGCGGGCTGCTCGCGGGGTCCGGGCGGCACGGGGCGGTTCGGAGGCGTTGGCGTGCTCGTGACCGTCTCCTCGTCGTAATCCTCGTTGTCGTCGTCCTCGCCCTCCGTCTCCTCCGAGTCGGCGGCGTTCCCACGGGCGGGGGGCTGGGGAGGGGGTGGCGGGGGGCTGGTCCTCGCCGTCGTCGCTACCGCCGCTGCCTCCTCCTCCTCCTCCGTGGCCGGGGCCTCGCTCACCGGGCCCAGCGTCCCCACCGGGGGCTCGGCCTGCAGGCACGGACGAAAGATGGTGGCGCCAAGACGGCAATCAACCCCCATGCACAAAGACCCCCTCTGTTAGCGAGCACCTATGAAGGCCAGCACGACACACGAGAGGGTGGGGTGGGCCAGCACTAAGTCTCCCAAGTGGCAATGTCTACACACTGCACCAGGTAGTCATTTGAGGCCGAGTTGACCTGGTGTTTGGCCAGGATAGGGAATCGAACTGGGGTCGTCGGTTTTGAAGCACAGCACGCTAACCACTGCGCCACCGCTCCCCAAACCCCACACAAAACACAACAAATCAACGTTTAGCCACGGGGACTGGCAGGTAGGCAGGATGGGGATGGAGTGTGGTGGTGGTGTAGCGTGTGTACCTGTTCCAGTGTGGTGTTGTGGTTCATAACTGCCTGGTATGAAGGAGGTTGTAAATTTGATCCCGACCCTGATGCCTGTATATTTGGAACTTGTACGTTCTATCCCCGTGGTCACGTGTATTTTTATCCGGATCCTCTGGTATGTCCCTCCACATTTAGAATCAACACGCGTTTCAATGCGACCTGTTGGCATAATAATATTTAAAAAAACATTTTTTAAACGCGCTTTTATGAAATGTACTAGTAATGGAAGAACTCCACGACTCCAGGAAGTGGCCCCGAAGCTTGCCATAACCGTCAGTTGACCGTGGTCAATTCCACCCAAGCCGAAACATAACATATAAAAAGAATGTTTAAAAAGATATATTTTTATTTTTATGATAGAATATAGTATTGTCATCAGTATGACATATCAAGTTTGCAGTCGATACCACATTGGGAAGTGGGTTAAAATTGAGTTACAAGATTTGAGGATACAACAACGCCAACAACAACAGACTGAGTTAAATGACAGCGTGTAAAAAGAGCTCTACAGCTCCGTGGTCTTTACCTGGTAAAATAAAGAGTTTGGTTTAACTGCAGCAGGACATTACGTACGGTGTGGTGGTGTAGTGGTGACTACCTGCAGCAGCAGGCTAATGAGCCGTTTGCAATTACCTGCAGCCACGCAGGTGCAGTGCGTTAACGCGGTGGCTGCGTTTACCTGCAGCTGGACTGAGACGCGGCCGGGCTGGGCCCGGGGCTCTGCGTGCGTGTCCTGGTAGCGAACCGTGGTGGCCAGCTGCTCGCTGGGCAGTGTGGCCGGGTAGTGCACTTTGTCCTGCGAAGAATATCTCAGCACGTCCTCCAGCGAGACCAGGCCTGGGTACGTCACAAAGATACAAAGATTTCCCCGTATAGCCTTCACAGACTGTTGAAGCGAGTGCTGATAGCGAGGACCTATGAAGGGCCAGCATGGCACCACGAGGGGGTGGGTGTACGCACAGATACGCAAGCAAGCATAGTCATACATGCTTATACAAAGACAAAGATCCCCCGTGTAGCCTTTAACTGACTTTTGGAGCAAATGCTGATAGAGAGCACCTATGAAGGCCAGCATGGCACCACGAGGGGGTGGGTGGCCAGCACCACGCCCGGCCGCCTTTGTCTCGCCAGTGGCGATGTTTACACATTGCAGTCATTTGAGACGAGTCGACCAAGGGGTGACCCATGACTGGTTCAGATAATCATCACTGGTGGTGGCCGTGAGCAGGAAACGAACTCGGGTCGCTGGGTTCATAGCGCAGCGCCCTAACCGTTGCACTACTGCTCCCCACGTCATACACACACACACGACACGCGGAAGTACACAGATAAAAGCCTTGCACGCAAACTTACACAAAAAGGCACACGTGAAGGTATGAACACATAACTCAGAAACTTAAGCATTCGTAGTTTGGAAAAATCTAAGCATTACGGACAGTCGGGGAACTAGCTCATAGCGGGACGGGACACGAACCGGAGCCGGATCCGGAGCCGTAGTCTGCCTCTGCATCGTCATCGTCATCGCCGACCTCGTCGTCCGAGCCCAGGCCCGACGCCCCTCCTTGTGTGTCCAGGTAGATGACATCGTCCATAGTGTAGGGGCTCAGAGATGCCTGCACACGCGCACGCACACACCCACACGACACGGTGCTTTAGGACAATACATGGCTCGATCATCATCATCATCATCATCGTGAGCCACGATCAACCGACTACTGCTGGATGAAGACCTTCCCCAAGCCATTGCCACCTCTTATGGTCCCGCATTGAAAAGCAGTCCCACCTAGCAGCTGTACACAAAGCCAATTGCATTGGCCTGACGCCTGAAAAGGCTTGTGCATTATTTTTCTGCCACTGTACCGCTATATAAAGAGCACATTACACACCTCTATACAACATATCTCACCCTACCTCTGTGCGCTGTGAAAAAGGGCCATTGCTCGAAACGTCATCCGTTACACACCTCTCTCTAAATGCAGTATTATTGATGATTACGTTTAGTTTTGTTGTTATTTGCACCACTGCTAAACGCAATGTTACCACATAACCTCTATGCAATTATCAACAAACCGGTGTTGCTCCTGCTGACCCAGTAATAAACCAGCACGTTTGTTCACGTGACGACTGTGTTGGGGTGGAGGAGGGTTTACGACAAACATTTTATTTACAAGATTGGACCCAAATTTGTATTTTTTTATGAAAATCGGGCTGTTTAATGTTCACTTTTCACAAAGCAGCAAGCATTTGATGCACCCTAGGAGGGATGTTGGGCAGAGTCGAACCCAGACAGGGATTCAAACGTGCAACATCAAGACTGCGAGGCGAGCACTCCAACCACTCCACCACCCAGCGAAATAAAACCCGATGTCATGGAACAACAAAGCACACAAGCCAATTCGAGATATTAACCACGCAACTCAAAAACAAGATCATATACTACAGCCACATATCGATTACATCACACATACAACGCAGAAACACACAATCAACTGCAAGGCAATTGATTTGCTAATTCCCTGCAGAAATTATGGGGTGCCCGCGGTAATCGAACCATCAACGCAGTGTAATATGGCTCAGCGGGGAACACGGGCCGATCGCGAGGCTACCACGCCACTTTGTGAATGACCCAAGACCACTCACACTGCAATTTGGGCTCCCGAAATCCCCACGAGCCTTAAAATTCCCAGGCTGCCTAAATCTCCCATCTCACCAAAGGTGATGACACTGGAGGCTGCCTCGAGGCTCACGTCTGTATAACAAAAAAAATAATCAGAAAACAGATGGACAGCTTTACACACTCAACATTCTTCTTGGTTCTTTCGGTAAAGTCACGTAGAAGGGAAATAATAAAATAATAAAATAAAACATAATAAAATACAATTCTCACAGACGCTGTCTTTCCGATAGATATGTTCTTCACCTGAAGATGAATCCCTGCAGTCACGAAAGCTTTAAATCGAAATTTATACTCAATATTCCTCAAAGCCCATCCATCCACCAGCCTCCTGTTAATCTGTCCACGATAAAACCAGAGGTTTTTTTTGGTTAGGGTGGTGGCGGCTTTAACGACACATTTATATTTATGCGATCGAACCCTAAAAAAACCCTCTATTATGGATCATATTGGTCGCGAAAGAAAACGTGTTAAACTGATTAAACCTCAGTCGTTCAAGAATCCTCCTCACTCATGTTGACCTCTCTCACCTCTCCCCAGCTCTTCTGCCCACCCTCCCATTCCCCTCCGATCCAAGGCGCAATGTTGCCTGCACTCGCAAGCCAAAATCCCGTTATGACATGGGGTTGGCTGCTCGTATTTTCTTTCTCCATGTGCTTCTACCTGTGTCGCGTCTCCTGTCACATCCACTGCACTCATCTCGAGCCTCCACATCCTGCCATCTCATGCTTGGTCTTCCTCTACTCTTTTCGATCTGCCCCTGTGGCATTCTACAGAGCCCTTCTCATTGCATCTTCGTTTCTTAGGAACATGTGCTGAAACCATCTAAGTTTTGCCTCCCTTCCACAGACATTCATAATCTCAGCAAGGTCTCAACCCTTTCAACCTCTTAGTGCCAGCCAGCATCAATCTCTGCACCATGAGTGTCCACTCTTCTTCTAGTTGCTCCTTCGGGTCTGAAAAGGCCCTGCTACTGAAAGAGTACAGCTAGCCAGAGTGTGCAGTTTCCAGGTCATGCAGGGAGTGGTGCTGTTGTTACAGAATACGGTCGCACCGCGCACGCCTTAACCCCGTTCAACATTGCACCAAAATAACAAACAGAAGAGAGCGGAGGCACCGAACAAAAAAAACGCGAGAAATTCTGGAAGCGAGATGACATCGAAGCCAGTAAAACCAACAACACAAGCACAAAAGTCCTTTGGTCAGACCATAAATCGGTACCAGCTGTGGTGATAAACCTTAGAGCTACCCTTTGCATTTTATGGCCAATTAAAGTGAATTATGAGATAACCAACTCATTGGAAAAGGTTATCAGATAATTCACTCACTCTCCTGACAACGAAAGGGGTACCGCAGAAGATTTGTCAACTCAAAACGATAACGGACCAGTGAGATTTCCGGGGTGGGTCCCAAGGACTGCAAGTCAATTCACAGCACAGACTCCCATAATGCACCATGAGAATCAAAAAAACAAAAATGGCCGTGGTGCTGCCCCTCTTCAAAACCGCCATCCCCCTACCCCAACCCACCCGCAACCCCTCGGCCGACCCCTGACCCCGTCAGTTTGTGCCGCAGTTTTAACTTTCAAAAGGCATACCTTCTCAAAGGACTACCATAGAGGTCATGGTGCGTGTTTTCTTAGGACAATGGCAACGCTAAACCTCTCATGTGAAGTGACCAAGCCTCTTTATTCCCCTTTTATTATTAAATTCGTCTCTATAGAAAAGAAAAACAAATTAGGAAAGCGAAGGGGAGGGGTTTTAAGAACACAGAAACGTCGCTGGCTAGTCGCGGGGCCACTCCCGAGTCTCAATGCACGCGTCGCCGAGACAATCACAGGGCTGTTTTTGCTCGGAATTTGCGGCATCTGCGTCTGTTCTTTGTGCCTCGAATCGTGCAAATGAGCGGACGCAGTGCCCTCAGTCTCCTGCCTCAAGACCGTGCCCACCCTCCTCCCCCCTTACACACAATGGCAAAGATGGCTGAAGTGGGGGGGGGGGGGGTATTTCCAGGGTTAAGGGTCCGCTGTGTTGAGCCAAATAACTTTGGCACAGTGTGGAGGTAAATTAAAATCGGCGTTCGTGGGAGTCGGCCATTGTGTGGCAATGTCAGGGCCCAAAATCCAAAGTCTGAAAAATTACTTACGACTAAAAAAAATCCACGAAACGGTCCTTGTGCAATCAACTAAAGCATGATCACGCAACACTTGCCACCCAGACGGAGCTTCCCAAACAATTTAAATTTGTTCTTAAACAAAACTCGCTTTTAATTTGTGCCCCCATCTTGTCAGAACTCGGAAGCCAAGCAGCCGTGAGCCTGGCATAGTGTTTGGATGGGTGAACACCTTACACAAAACAGGTTGCCATTCGACTGTGGGACCTATATTGTAGGCAGCAGAGAGCAATTTATCAAAATCTATTGTGTTGCTGTACTTTTAAGTCCTAACGCTTATGCGTTCCACCTTCACCAACCCACAACTGAACAGCATAGTTATGTTTGTTTAAAATAATACCAATGCCCCGCATGGTAACAGGAGGCTCTGCTTCAGCAGTGGATTTACAAAAACGCCAATCTTTTGACAATCACTAAATCACCAAGGTCCTGTCACTCATCTGCCAAGTACTGGTATATGGCAGTTTCGCACAGTTCAGGAGCGGCCTGACCCTGATAAGACAGAAATGGCCATTCACCGAGTAAAAGTTCTCCAAATGTGGTCAAGGCATTGGTGCACAAGTTACAAAAGTCTATTTCTGCAGGTTAAATCAATGAAGCTTCTCAAAGTTATTTATTGAGTGGCTTAAGTTGGATTTAAACTGGCGATCCAGGAACCGGGAGGCTAATTATGGAATTGGGTGTCACTCCAAGACAGGCAGCGGTCTGCGAACTGATCATTTCAAAAGGTGCTGGCTGGCTCAGCTTTTGCAGGAGTCGGCTCTGTGAGTCACCCAGCCATTTTCACCCCCATTTCTTTTGTCAACAATGTTCAATTAAAAATGTTACTTTGTCTTTGGTTATATCTGAAGTAATAGCTTCCCTTTTGTTTGCCTTACATTCCTCAAAAAGAAAGGGAGTTAAAAGAGGAAATTAAAATTATCTGAATTTTCAGTTCTAATTAAAGCAATACTTTAATTTACGGCAGTACGCACACCAACTTCGAGGCTTCAACGACCTGGGTTCCATTCGCAGCAGTCAGGCACAATGCGAGTGCCAAGTGGCGACTGAACCTGGCCTGGGCCTCCCATAGTTTAACTGGGACCTAATATAAGCAACTGGTGTAGTGCACAAGTATTTATCATCATCACCCACGATCAATCCACCGGTGGACAAAGGAAGGCCTACCCTCAAGCCGTTGCCATCTCTTGTGTGCCTGCGATCTTTTCCGTAATGGCAGCACACAAATAATGGTAAAGTGGAAATAACAGTTAAGCAGGCACAAGCCTTGATAGTGCTTTTATGGGTATCCACAATGCACTAACAGGTTGTCATAGGGCTGCAGGGCTACGTTGCAGGCAGGAGAGCACCGCTGCAACAACAAAAAAACACGGTTGTACTGTACATCCATGCTCCTACGCACATTCCGTCCATGCTTTCATGAACCCATATTGACCAGCTTGGCAAAGCATGGTCAAATAACTCCCATAATAACGCATTCATTTTATTTCACAATTCATGCTAATTGCACCCGGTACCGCAGTACATTAATTATATATAAGGATGAAATCCTATATACTAGCTACTACCAAGCAAATTAAAAACCTACTACCAAGCAAAGTGAATAAACGAATAAAGAAATTGCACCAAAACAAAAAAGGCGCAAACAACAACAAAAAAGTTATCACAAAAGAGAGAGAAATTAATCCATAAGGTCACATCCCAGATCACAATCCCAACTTCTCAACGAAACCAGAAAACCTTCACAGGAGGGGCGGCGGTGGCGGA